TCGCCGGCGGGCACCCCGCGGGGCCGTCCCCTCCGGGCCCTCGCGCGGTCGGCGCCGCCTCCTGCAGCCCACCCTGCAGCCCACCCTGCAGCAGCGCGCGGCCGCGCCCCCCTGCCCCCGCGCCCCCTCCTCTCCGGACCCACCGCGCTCGATCCGGGTCCGCACGGGCTGCGTTCCGGAAAGCCGGAGCACGTCCCTCCGCCGAGACCGCTCCTCTCCCGGAAGAGCAACCCTCCTTCCCTACGTGTCCCCAAATGTCCCCACCTGTCCGCACGGGTCTGCGAGATGCTGGGGACCCGCTGGATCTGTACCCGGAAAAACCGACACTCTGGAGATGGCTCGGCCAACGGAAGGGGCTGCAGGCATTTTCCTTTAGTGATAACAAGGGCGGCGTTTCCAGCGGCCCTCTTAGCGCAGTGGGCAGCGCGTCAGTCTCATAATCTGAAGGTCCTGAGTTCGAGCCTCAGAGAGGGCACGGGTGTTTTGCTGTGCTCCGCTGTGTATCAAAGAAAAAGGTTCAACGATGATGCCTAGGGGCTGGGTGGGCGGGGCAGGTAGAGGCAGCGGGACGGAGGTTGCTGCTGGAGGATCTGGAAGTAAATGCTTAGGTCCGCACCCGGAACGTTCGACCTCCCTCGTAATAAAAGAAACGCAAGCCGCATCCCCGAGGAATGACCGTTGTCCCCTCTCCCAAGAATGAAAGCCCGCAAGTGAGAAAACGCGCGGTGGCTGCGCGACTGCGGGGAAATGGCCCCAGCGTTGCCGAGCGGTTCAGTTCCTTTTGCAACATCCGTGAAAATCTGTCTCCCAGCCACCTCCGATCCTCTTCACCCAGCTTCCTCTACACGGAGCAAGGCCGTGTCTCCACGGTCTTTTTCCGCTGTCTGCGGGGACCCTGTCCTCGCTCCATTCCAGACCCGGCTTTCAAGAGCCAGGAAGATCTGGGCAGTCAGTGCTGGTCCCCACGCGGCCCGGGAGAGCAAGGTGGGGCGTGGCACTGATGACCTAGGGATGGCCAAGCTCTAACCATGGCTTTGACTGAATCCTTCCATTTTTTTTCCTTTGCTGAGAGAGAGTCCCCTGTGCCAGTCTTCCTCTACTTTGTGTGTGGGTTGGGGCCACAGCATGGCCGTGGCGTGGTGTAGGTCCGCCCCTGGGAACCCAACTCCGGCCGCCGAAGCAGAGCGCACCGGTAGGCCCCGTGGGCGACCCCTGAATCCTTCAACTTAATAGCTTCCAATTACTTGGTGATTTAGTCTCTATTAGTTATTTAGAAGTATATTTCTTAATTTCCGAAATAGGGAAATTTCTAGTTTTCTTTGAGTTATTCACTTGTATTTTAATTGCATTGTGGTCATAGAATATACTGTCAGAATTAAATCCTCTGAAATCTATAGCTCAGTATATGGTCAAGTTTTGTAAATACTTTACGTGGAAAAAAGTATGTATTCTATAGGGGTTGTATGCATTGCACTAAGTTTTGTAATCATGTTATTCAAATCTATATTATTTAATCGTCTATAGTCATTAATTTTTTGTCTGAACTATTAGTTACTGAGAAAGAGAGATTTGTCTATTCTGTCAATTTTTCTTTATATATTTTGAGGCTACAGTAATAAATGCATAAGAGAATTCTATCTTCCTGGAGAACTGAACTTGAACACTTATGAAGCGTTCGCTTTATCACAAATACTGCCGTTTGTCTTAGGGTATAGGAGCTTCAATAACACAATATCATCAGCTTGCTTTGATTTAGTTTGTACGTGAAGCATCTTTTTCTGTTCTGTATTTTCATACTTTCTGTATCCTTCTGTTTTAATATCTCTTTGAAACAGATCCACTTGAGATTTCTTTAATCCAGTCAGATAATCTCTACAGATTAATAGGAATATTTAATATAATTACTGATTTAATATACTTTTAATTTAATATATCTTAATTATATTTAATATAATTACATTTAATTTTATTTACATTTAATATAATTACTGATTTACATTTAGTATATTTACATTTAATAGTTTTTACCTTTAATATAATTTAAATGTAATTTAATTTTAATTTACATTTAATTTTTAATTTAACATAATTTTAAATTTAATTTCTTCTATTTAACTTTTCCTTTTAATGTAATACAAATTTAAAATGTAAGAATTTAATTTTTTTACAGAATATGAGTTGCATGTAACAATTAAATTTATATTTAATACAGTTACTGACATATTTGGATCTGCATCTCCCATTCTAACAGGTTGTTCCTTTTGTTCTGCCTGTTGTTGTGTTTCTTCTCTTCTTTTGGGTGGCTTTATTATTGTTATTAGCATATAATTTTATTTATATTAATAATAGATTAATATCAAATTAAACAATGTAATTGTTTAATTAAGAGTTAATAAAATTATATTAATCATAAATATAAATTAAAAAATTAATTAATATTATTATACCTTCTTATATTCTGTTATTCCAGTATTTTCCCTCTGTTAGTTTGGAAGCTGTACCCTGGTTTAATATTCTTTTAGTAATTAACCTAGAAATTACAACACTACAACTACTTGACTTATCAAGACTACTATTACTTTTACCTTCTTTCCAGAAAATATTTTAGAATTCTTTTACATTACCACTGCCAATTATTACCCTCTCAACTCATCTCCTTTGCTTTCAGTTCTCTTGGACACATACATCTGAGGAGAATTGCTGGGTCATGTGATAACTGTATGTTTAGAGTTTTGAAGAGCCACCAAGCTGTTTTTCAAAGTAGCTGCACCATCTACAATCCCACCAGCAAAGCATAGGGGTTCCAATTTCACCACATCCTCATCAACACTTGTTATTGTCTGTCTTTTTCAGTCTGGCTGTCCTAGCAGCTGTGCAGTGTTACTGCCCTGTGAGGATGTGCGTGTCCCTAATGGCCTTAAGCATCTTTTCTTGTACTCGTTGGCCATTTGTATACCTTCTTTGGAGAAATGTCTATTTGAATCCTTTGCCCTTTTAAGAACTGTTTACTTGTCTTTTTATTGTTGAGTTGTAAGAATTCTTTATATACTTTGGATATAAGTCCCTTACCAGATAGATGATTTGCAAATGTTTTCTCCCATTCTGTGGGTTGTCTGTTCACTTTCTTGATGGTCTTCTTTGAAGCACTCATTTTTAATTTGATGAACTTTATTTTTGAAGAAATAAACATTGCAGATAGAGTTCACATTCCCTTTTTATCCCTTTTTGATCCAGTTTCTCTACCTTCCCCCCACAGAGATCACCACTATTCTGAATTTGATCTTTATAATCCCCTAGCTTTCTTTTTGCAATTGGGTAAAATACACATAATATAAAATTTACCATCTTAACCATTTTGAAGTGTACAGGTCAGTGGCATTAAGTCCATCTACATTCTTGTGCAACCATCACCACCATCCATCTCCAGAACTTTTTTCATCTTGCAAAACGGAAACTCTGTACCCACTAAACAGTAACCTACCATTTCTATCTCACGGCCCCTCGTAACCACCATTCTACTGTCTGACTCTATGAATGACCTAAGTACTTCGTGTGAGTGGAATCATACAGTATTTGCCCTTTTGTGATTGGCTTATTTCACTTAGCATAATGTCTTCAAGATTCATCCATGTTGTAGCATGTGTCCAAATTTCCTTCCTTTTAATGGCTGAATAATATCCCATTATAAATATAAAATCACATTTTGTCTATGCATTCATCCATCAATGGACACTTGTTATAACTTTTGGAGTCTGTTTGTTACTAACCCAGTAGGCTAGATCTACTGTTGGCCTCCAGCCCCTGTATCATATGTTTAAGTGGATGCTAATTACTTATATTCTTTAGAGGCAGCCTGGCTACAGCAGGGGTGAGCAGACTGAGCAGCAGACCAAATCTGGCCCACTGTGCCTTTAGAAATAGAATTTTATTGGAACACAGTCACACACATTCGTTTATGTATTGTCTATGGCTGCTTTCATGCTACAGCAGCAGAGCTGAGTAATTGGGACAAAGACCATATGGCAAAGCCTGAAATGTTTCCTATCTGGCTCTTTAAGTTTGCTGTTTCCAGGGCTGTAGTGACAAATAGACTCCAAAATGTCTAACAGCTCAAAGACAAGTTTATTCCTCTTTCACACAATAGACCGAAGCGGGCACCTTTTCTCCACGTTTGATTCTCGGACACAGGATGCTTCCACTTGGTGGTTCTGCAACCCCCTAGGGCATCCACACCATTTGCCTTGAGCTGGTAGAAGGGGACAGAGAACCTGGAGGGGACACGCCTACTCCTTTAGCCTTGGCCCAGAAACGAGACACATTCTTGACCTGTGACCCTTCGGCAAGAACTATGTTCCCAACAATATCTCCATGCAAAGGATGGGACTCTGGGTCCCTGGCCTTGCGGTCTCCTTCTGGTGACAACTCTAAGCTACAAATGGTAGTGGACAGCTAGCTGTCTCAGCCATGCAAAGAGGAGGCAGGACGGAAGAGGACTAGAGAGCAAGCCTATATGGCTTGATTTCGGGAGCTGGGGCTTGTTCAGCCTGGAGAAGACCAGACAAAATATTACATCATCACATCCTCAAGTATGAGGAAGCTGCCCTGAAGCAGAGAGAACAGCTTTTGACTGGTACCAAATGCCAGAATTAGGACCAGGGCTTTGAAAGACAGATAAAGCGAAGTATCGTGGAGTAGGAAGCTAAAAGGAGAAGGAGAGACTCTTTCCTCAGGATACGGTTAGACCAACTCATGCAGTCTTAACCCGGGCCAAGAGTTGAGTGTTGTTGGTCTGCCGATTCCCTGATACGATCTGAAAGTTTTTACACGTACATGCATTTCTTCGTGAGCTTTCTTAAGATTCCAAGAATTCTCTGACCCCAAAAAAAGTTACAAACAAAACTAAGTCTGGTCTGAAATTCCTTCCCTGCCCTGCAACTTGCTGAACGGGGGCAGCCACAATCCATCACAATGAGTTTATTTGAAGGAACTGGTCGCATATGTAGGCTATTTTGGTTTCCGTTTTTCTATTTTATTAATATAAAGGCTAGTTTCCCCACCCAAACCCAGAAATCAGTGGAGAAAAATAACAAAGGAAAAATCCCTAAGCCATATAATAAAAACCTGGGAGGGCAGGCTGGGTGTGTGTGTTGGGGGGCGGAACCGACAGATGACCAGCCATCGAGGATAAGGTGGACATGTGGGAGGTGTTGGAACTGTCCAGCACCCCATGGGCATCCTCTCACCATGCTGGCCTTCTTTGGGTCTTCACCAGCAGGACCATGGCACGCAGCCTTCAATACAAGAGCTTGTAAACTGTGGCACTGTTCTTGGAGCCCGTGACCAGATACTGGTTGTCAGAGGACACATCGCAACACAGGATTTCTGTAGACTCCTCTACCTAGAGAGAAAGAGGGGCCAAAAGAGAGACAAATGCAGGGGCCAGGCTTGGGCCAGAGTGTGAAGGCTTCATTTAAGGCTGTTTCAAGCTCAGCGTAGACCTGAGGCTCGGTCTGGAGACAGGGAGGGTCTTAGGGGGCTCAAGGTAGAGACCACGAGTTCATAAGACCTTGGGTCATCATTCCCCCTGAACTATTAAATGGGCGTGGATGCCACCTCAGAGTTATTTTCCTGCACTATCTCCGGGACCTGAGAACTGAGATCTGGGGCCATAAGCTGCAAGTGCCTAGGTTTATGCATCCCGCCTTCCAGTACCTGAAACAACCTTTGCAGAGAAGGTGCGGCCAAGCAGTGGATCGACTCGTCCAGAGTGCTCACAAAATAGCTCCCTGGCGAAGGAAAGACAGATGGAAAAGGCCAGAGACCGGGCCTGCGCTCCAGTCCCAGCTTTGTTCCAGACTCCACTGGGGAAAGGGCAACTCTCTGCCTCAGTTTCCCATCTGTAAAAATCAGAGGCATGACCCAAACCATTCCCTCGTGCACCCCCACCCTCCTGCCACAAACAGGATCCTGGTAAGTATCCGTGAACACTAGTACAACCAGGTGGGGCTCTATGCCTCCTCCACCTGCCACGTCTTCAGGCTGCCGTTCTGTGTGGGAAGCTACCATCACAGCCAGAGCCAGAAAAGGAGAGGGAGTGATTGGGGAAAGGAGATCGGAAAGGTGGCCAGGCTCCAAGAGGGAGAAACACTGTGGGGGGAAGGAAGCAGACACAGAGGTGAGAACAGCAGGAAAGTGGATGCCTGGGTCTCCTAGTGTTGGGGCTGGAGAGGGAGGAATTAAGAGTCTGAAATCTGGCTGGGCCAAGACTCTACAGGTGAGTGGACACCCTGTAGCGCGACGGGACACCCCCAGGTGTCACCTGGCTCCTCACTCACCACAGGAGGCGAACTTGAGGTTGTGGTGGTGGATGTATTTATGTATGACAGCCTTAAACTTCTCCTTCCGGTGCGAGTGTAGGATTATGATGTCACTGGTTCTCAAGCCCACTAACATCCATTCCTCACTGGGGTCGTGAGTGATGCTGAGGATCTGTGTGGAAGGAGGTTTGGAGTCAGCGCTCCAGGCTGCCAGTGCCATCATTCATGCCCACCTCTTCAAACTCAGACCCTGCTCCTGCGGGCACCCACAACTCCCAGTCCTTGGGGACTGCACTCAGTTCAGTGGTGGCTGACCAGGCACCTCATGCTGTAAATCGTGTTGCTGCAGCTTCTGGTAGCTCCTCAGGTCCCAGGAATACAGGCTGGTGTCTTCACCTCCTGTCCAGAACTTATTGCCGACGATGTCCACACATCGGGACCCATATTCAGGGACTTCGTGCTTCCTGGTGGGAAAACAACTCAAAAGGTCAGGCACTGGTGGGACCCCTGGAAGTTTCAGGCCCAGGATGCCCCCAGGAGGACCCCAGATATATTCTCCACACTGACTCACCTAGTCCCACTGCACAGAGGGGAAAGCGGGGTCCAGAAGGGGACACATGCTTTGCCAAAGGCCTCACCATGAAGCCCTCCCCCAGGTCTTACCTGATCAAGATTTGGTTCTGCAAATCCCAGATCTCAACAAATCCTTTGAAACAAGCCAAGCAGATCTGGGCATTGGAGGAGATGGCCAGGGAATAGCACACGGGGCCTGTGGAGGCCAGCTGTGCCCGGATGCGGGGTGTGGGTGCCAGATCCCAAAGAGTCAGGGTCCGGGACAGACCCCCGGTGATCAGGCTCTGCTCATCGGGGAACAGCTTGCAAGTGAGGACACAGTTCTGATGGTCCTGTAGGAAAGGTTTACATTCTTGTGTCACCTCCTCAAAGCACGGGCTCCGAGTCTCATGACAGATGTCATGTCTGGGTCCCCAAGCCCTTCTGGAACACCCCTCACCTGAAAGTTCAGCTGGGCCTGAGGAGCCTTGTCCCACGCATGCAGAGCACTCGCATCCCACACCTTGATGTAGCCCTGGCCACACGTGTACACGTGGTGAGTTGAGCCGCCGATGGCAATGGCATAGACTTTCTTTCCGTGGCGGAGTCTGCCAACCTTCCAGGATTCACGTGGGGTCCTCTGCCTGACCACCACTTCATCTGGAATGGGAGGCTGGGGAGAGGAGAAGGTGGGTGGCCCTGAAACGGTCGTAGCCCTGGCCTATCATCATTCACAGGGGACAGCCTGCCCCGTCCTCTGACTAAATTCCTAACCATTCATCGAACAGCTCTTGACTCCTAGGCAGAACAGTGCTCATTTGGGGTCCCCAGACCACTGACATCCTTCTGCACTAGCCCAGATGTGCCCACGTTTCCCTCCTTGACAAACAGGGCCACGGTTTGAGACAATTCTGAGCACCAGCCAGCAATGGGAACAGAGGCTGGTTCAGAGTCCCCTAGGACACAGCTCTAGGAGAAGTGACACTGTGAGCTGAAGACCCTACAGATTGGTGGTGGGAGAAGGATGGATGGCAGCCTCGTTCAAAAGAAGCTGGGAGCCACAGGACACCCACCACTTAGAAGAGAAAGAATGAGAGTGTGGACACAACACACGCCCTCTCCTTCTTCCCACTAGCTTCTTGTTTGGGGGGTAAAGGGGAAGGGAAAGATTCTAAGTTAAAAAAAAAAAAATAAGACCCTTACAATTGCTCTGAGGAATGATAAGACTTCTTCACTGGGAGGCGGCGAAGAGCAAGGCTGGCCTGCAGGGAAACATCAACACCCAGCGCTCACAGAGACGGCCTCTGGCAGCAAGAGACCCAGCATTCGGGGAGAAGGCTGTGCTCCAGACACCAAGGCCTCGTTCCTGGTCCCCCATCTCAGGCCCAGCTTTGGGCTACCACCCTCCCTGCCACACCATCCCAGCTGGGACTTACCAAACTCGGATCCTGGTAGGACGCTATGAAAAATGGAGAGGGGAGAGGAAGGAGACAGCGTGAATGGAGCTCCGTGCCAGAATCCCCTCTCCCCAGGACGGTGCGCCGCCCTCCACCAGTCTGGTTCAAGTGAGACCCACCTGGGGCTGAACTCGGCTTCTTCCCCTGGCTCCGCCTCAGAGAGCCAACCGGCCTGGAGCTCAGACCTGTCCAGGGTCTGGAGGGCCCACTGCTGCGGAGTCATGGAGCTCATCTCCTGATACACCGGGCTGTGCTGCATCGGGGGGCCCAGGGATGGCGGGGGCGTACCATACACCCCATACAGCTGGGACTGTGCTGGATGCTCATGCAGAGAGGCAATTCCAGAGCTTTCTGGCACATTCCTCCTCTCCTCTGGTTCATCATAAATTCTGAGTATACCGAAGGAGTCCTCTTCCTTCTCTCCACTCATGTTCAGAGATCGAGGATATGCCTGAGCCACCCGGTTCTAGGGTTTGAGATAGAAGCCCGTCAAACGGATCCTGGGGTCCCAATTTGTCCTGATCCCCTGTAGCAAAAAAGAGAAAGGATGCAGATATGCAGATGCACTGTGGGGTCTATCCAGAAGGGTCTGAGAGCACCTCTCTTGGTGAGAGGGTTCAAAAGATTGGTTGCCGACTAACTTTTTATACTAAACGTTGGCAGCGATAGTGTTAAGGGCGGAAGTCTCACACAGACACTTTGAGATGTTAGTACCAGGCGTTATATTTTTCCTTCTAGACACACAGACTGTATTTCCGGTCCTACAAAATCAAACCCACCCTTCCATCTGGCTGTGTACTTTTCAAATGAGAGCTCATCCCGTGTGTCAATGAAACAGGAAGACAGCAGGAAACTCCACACACATCACGGGGTCTCCTGCCCCCTTGAGGGGACAGCGAGGAAGAACTCGAAGAGGTCATGTGAAGGTGAGGTTCCATGAGGATGGGGTGAGGTTGCACAATGATGAAGAGGTTGGCCGGTGGTGATATTAATCTTTCCTACCCTGTGGGATAATTCTGAGAACCAAATGGAACCACCATGTCGAGGACTCAGAACTATATAAAGCTAGCGGCCAACACTCAATAAATGGCAGAGAGTGTGTTTATTTGTGGGACTGTGCCAGGGACCAGAGCTTTGAGGATTTAAGGCAGACCACGTGCCTTCCTTCAGGAAACCCAAGAGCGAGCCCTAGAAAGGCCCTGGGGGGACCAGCGTTCCATTACAGAGCACATCAGAAGCCTTGGGGACAAAGTGGTGGGTGGGGCTAGAGAGGGGATCTTCCAATTGCAACCAATGCCTTGAGGACCAGGCTCAATCCTCAATTCCCAGACACCCCGTCTCCCCGAATGCTCCAGCAGATAGCCCGGGAACCCAGACTGCTGCCCTTGGGAAGACACGGGGCAGCTGCATCACCAGACTCCACTCCTCTCCAATTTTCTGAGCTCTTGCTGTGTGTGCGGCCCTGAACCAAACACTTGACACAGCTGATCCTATTTCATCCTCACAACTGTGTGGGCCACATGCTACAGATTTTTTAAAGCTGAAGTTCAGAACGGTTAAGCAAATAGCTAGAAGGCACAGAGAAGAGGTTCAAATCCTGCCCTGTCTAGCTCTAAGCAGCCTCCTTTCCCACCTCCCCATCGTAGGAAGGAAGGCCATAGTCACCATAATTACAAATGCAGCTACCTTCTGACCTAGCACTTCCACCTTTAGGAATTCATCTTAAAGGTGCCCTTGAATATGTGCAAAATAATACATGCATAAGCTGAAGTATTACAGCATTGTTGTGATAGCCGATGACCGCACGAAACCCAATGGCCATAGGAGGGGACTGGTGACATCAGTTACAGTGGATGCATCAAGTGGAATACTACACGACTGTTAAAAATAACAGGACACTTATGCATGGATATGGAAAATTCCAAAGTGTGTTAATGGGGGGAGGCGAGGATTCAAGGTTCAGAAAACTATGCATAATATGCAGCTTTTGTGTAAAAGGATGGAAATCAGAACCCATCTTTGCATATGTTTATATGCACATAAGAAATTAGGAATGGAAATTGGCAAACAGGAAGGAAGAAGGAAAGGGAGATTTGTCACTGCAGAACTTGGGATAGTTTTTGCATATTTGTGGCTATTTGAACCTAAATTAAAAGTTGTTGGACCTTGAGGCTTTTTCTCAGCCAAGTCCTTTCTTTCTCATCTTCTCATCCCACTTACCATTTTGGGTCCTCGTGATTCTTAGTTACTTGTTTAAATAATTTAACAAATTCGTCCTGACCCGCATCGGGCTCCTTTAACCGGGACCCCAGGGCTGGCTGGGCCCTGGTGACGGTGAAGGCCCAGGGCAAACACATTCCCAGCCCAGTATGAAGGGGACTGGCAAGCCGCCCCGGCTCCCGCTGGGGGTTGGGTAAAGTATAAAGTGAGGCCATTTAACCGGGATTTTACCCTAATAATAAGGCAACGCTTCCCAGAAAGAACAGAAGGAAGGGTCAATATCACCGACTGCCCCTCAGGTCTATCCCTAGAGCTGGGAACACAGAGACCCCTCCCCTCAGAAGGCAGCTCTTTCCTGACCTTCAACACAAAGTGCTGGTACTGGGGGTTCACCCTGCCGGCTAGATAAGCACTCACCAATCCCCCTTGGCATGAAACTCACCTCTGAAGGCAGAAGGAGAAGGGAAGTCAGCAGAGCTGAGCCCCAGCTGGTGCTGGGAACCCCGCTCCCCCAGCCCCGGACCCTCCCTTCCACACCAGGCACTGCCCCCTGCCCGGAAGTGCTGCTATTTTTAAACTTGAGCCTAACTGATAATCAAGGCCTGGGTCGGAACCTGTGTCAGGTGTTCAAGCCCTGAATGGCCCATCAACTACCGGGCGTGGCCACAACCACAACCTACCGCAGAGCCACTGCTGGGCTGCCGTTTCCGATTCTCCCTTGCGTCCTTGAATGAAGGGTGAGACAGACGGGGATCTCCCAAGTAAATTCATGGCAGGAGGCAAGACGGAGTGAGAAATTTTTAGGGGGATAAGTCTTTGGATTGGGTTCCCGCCGCCCCACAAGAGCCAGTGTTTGCACAAAGATGGAGAGTTGGGTTGAGCTGCACCCAGAGCCGTTTCAGATTCTCATCTCTGGGTGAATTCTCTTTGCTCCTGAAGCCTGGCTTTGGGCTGACACCAATATGGGTGATTATGGCAGGGAGGAGGGGTCTCTTTGCCTTTTCTTCCCGCTGTTCTGGCTTGAACAAGCCCAGCTCTGTGATCTTTCATCTTTAGCCAGTGTCTCTGAAAGTGAAGACCAGGGAAGCCTGGCTTTCCTGCGGCTCTCATCCAGTGGTTCTCAAACTTGCGCACTGGTCAGAATCCCCTGGAGGGCTTATGAAAACAGAGTGCTGGGCCCACCCCCAGAGGTTCTGATTCTGTGGGTCTGGGGTGGGGCCCGAGACCTTGTATCATCCTAACAAGTTCCAGAGTGATGGAGATGCTGCTGCTACTGGTCTGGGGTCCCCGTCTGAGAAGCACTGCCTGCCCTCTCTGTCTGATGGCCCCTTTCTGGCAGGAGGGGAGGGGTGGTAAAGATGGACCAGCTCCCTCTCTGCTCCACCCATTCACCTCCTGCCCCTGGCCCACCCCTCCCATTGAATGCACTCTCTCTTCGTCTCTGGTTTCTTTCTCATTCATTGGCCAACTTATTTTGAAGTGAAAGTCCTGAAATGACTGCCCGCTTAGAGAGAAATCTTTTACCACCCTGATCTCCAATCTCTAAAGTTCTTTGTCTCTCTATCACTCTTCCCCCTCATTTATACACCTCTCTCCTCCAAATGTTTATGGCTGCCTATGGCCTTCTAGATAATTGTACCTGATTGTACCCTAACCCGACTCCCAATGTAGCGGACTGTACATTTCCACCCTCATGCTTCACTCATGCTGTCCCCCCATCCAGGAATGCTCTTCCCTGCCCATTCATGTATCAAATATATGCTCCCATGTACTCTGAACATGGTTTCAGGGACCAGAGATCAGGCTGAGGCCTGGCCCAAGTCCTTGGGGAGTTCCAGTTTGAGAGGGGGGAGGAGGTGATGATATACACACAACTCCCTATCTGCAACACGATCCAGTTTTGGTAAATTGTCTCTTTTTTGATTCTCACAGGAAACATAACAGTGAAGCATACAGGCATGGATTTTATCCCCAGTTTGGAAATATGTGAATTAATTCAGGGGGTCAGAACCTTGCAGAGACTTGTCCAAGATCTCACTAAACAGGCGGAAGAACTAGGATCCAACTCCAGGCCTATATGATTTTTAAAAATACGTTTGTGAGGGCCATACTGAATCAGAGGAGTTCTTTCCAGATTCTAGATAGGAATCCTTTGTCACACATGTGTATTGCATATGTCTTCTACCGATCTGTGGCTTGCCTTTTAACTCTCTAAATGGTGTCTTCAGATGAATAGAAGTTCTTAATTTTAACTCAATCCAGTTTATCTTTTCTTTTAAGGTTAATTCTTTTTGAGTCTTATTTAGGAAATGTTTGTTACCCCCAACATCATGAAGATGTGCTCCTTTGTTTTCTTCTAGAAGCTTCACTGTTTTACCTTTCCTATCTAAGTCTATGAAATTTCGGAGCTTGGCAACACCCAGAAAGGGTTTCAGGGAACGCAGAGGGTCCAGGACAGAGCCTGGGCCTCTCTCGGCACGAGGCAGTGTGCACAGTGGGGAGGAGCCCAGCCCTGTCAAACTGCCCTGATTTGAAACCCAGGCCTGCTACTTCCAAGCAGTATGAGCTTTCACAGGATGCCAGCCTGTCCCCAGTTTTCTCATCTGTTAAATGGAGACAACAAGATTACATCCTGCCTAAAGCTGTGGTCAGACCTGGAGGTTAATAGGGCTCTGAGGATACCAGGTTTCAAGCAAGTGCTCATTAAGGGTTAGCAATTCTTAGGGGCCTGAGGAAGAGGAAAGAAAAAGGGAGGTGAGAGGCCAGTGGGAGGACCCCTGTGGTCAGTGAGGCAGCCCATGGAGAGGGTTTCCAGAAGGGACATGGGGTCTGGATCATAATACGGTGCATTGTTGGACACTAGACATGCATTTGCTGCATTATCACAGCCTATTCTCATAATTGCCCCAGGAGGGAAGTTTACAATTAAGGAAACTGAGGCTCAGAGAGTTTAAGTAACTTGCTTAAAGTAACACAGCAAGGAAGTGCTGGAGTTAGGGTTTGAGGCCAGGTCTGTACAGCCCGACATGGCCCTCCACCAGGCTGCAGGGAGATGGGAGTGGGAGGACAGGAACAGGGCCATTTGGCTTCAGCAGCCTAGAGCGGGTGGTTTCTGTGCACTCTTGGACTAGCCATTAGATTGCCAAGAAGTGAACTGTCAGACGCTGAGAAGAACGGAAGTGGGGGTGTAGAGTACTCAACTGAGACATTTGAGTCAAAGAAAATATAGGGGTGCAGAGCCAAGCAGAGCAGTGGTTCTCAAACTCAGAGGCAACTTAGAGTAACCTGAGCGCTCTAGAAGTACTGATGCTCAGGTACCTGTCTCACCAGCCCTGAGATTCCTATGTAATTAGCAGGATGCCACCTGGGCATCAGGACTTTTTTAGAGCTCCCGCTGTGATTCCAACTGAGCTAAGGTTGGAAACCACTGGAGTAGAGGGTTTTGTAGAGAAGGGACACAGGGCCACTGTTATCAGCAGAGGGTAGAGGGAAGCAGGTGGGAGAGATATTAAAGAGACTGGGGAGAAAGAAACAAGAGTGACAGAGGAAGACCCCTGTGGTCCTGGGAATGGCTGAGGTCAAGGGCACAGAAGAAGGAGTTTCATTTAAGATGGAAAGGAGAAACGACCACAGCGTAGAAAGGAATTTATAACCTAGATGGGAAGAGACAATATGGCCTTACTGTCCCTTGGCCATGTCTGTGGTTGGAGGCACCCAGCTTGAACCCAGGTGACGCCATGGTTGAGATTCAGGTGCATGTGGCCAAGTGGTGGGACCAACGATGTTTGAACCAGAGTGGAGGAGCTTCTGGGCAAGAGAGGCAAACGGGTCTTGGGACAGCAATGAAACACATTTGTGCATCCACCTACTCACCCATCACCTTTCCCTCCAAGTGGCCAGTCAGCACAGTTTCATCAAGCCACCCCTGTGCTGGGCTCTGAGGATACAAGGCTGAACCTACAGACCTGGCCCTGACCCTTGTGGGTTTCAATCTTAAGGGTGAAACCACAGTTGAACTGGCAATTACAAATCAGAGTGGAAAGCGACATGATGGGGGAGGGGAGGTGTGACAGGGGAGCACAGAGAAGGGGCACACAATGCAGAAGTGAAAGGTCGTGGGGGGAAAATGAGGTCTGAGACAAGAAGGATGGGAGGCGTTAGTGGGGGAAGTGGGGTGGAGAACATAGGAGAATGCTCTAGGCAGAGAGAACAGTGGGTGCAAAGGTTTGGAGAAGTATATTTCAGTAACTGGGAGAATTTTCCAGAGCTGGAGCAGAGGGGGGGTGTGTGTGGTGGGGACGGAGGGTGGGGGCAGGGATGCGCATCTATTCCAGGGAGAGTGGTGGGGAACACTGAGGGGTTCTGACCTGGGGGAGACGTGATCAGACTTGTGTTTTGATAGGACTCAGTCTGCTCTTCAGTGGATGGACTGGGGGAGGGGCAAGGCCGGCGTCTAGGAGACCAGTTAAAAGAAAAGATGCTCCACGTCAGTAGTCATTAGGGACGTATAAACCAAAACCACAACGATATACCGCTTCTTACCCACCAGGATGGATACAACACCAACAAGAAAAACTACAGAAAGTAATAAATGTTGGTGACGATGTGGAGAAGTTGGGATGCTCATACATCGCTGATAAGAATGTAAAATGGCGCAGCCACTGTGGAAAATGGTTAGGCAGTTCCTCAAAAAGTTAAACACAGAATGACCATACGACCCAGCAATTCCACTCATAGGTATATACCCAAAAGAATCGAAAACAAGGGCTCAAACAGATATTTGTACACCAATGTTCATAGCAGTGGTCACAACAGCCAAAAGGTGAGAACAACCCAAGTGTCCATCAATGGATGGATAAACAAAATGTGGTATATCCATAAAATGGAATATTAGTCACCAATAAAGAGGAATGAAGTATTGACACGTGCCATAATGTGGATGAACCTTGAAAACATTACACTAAGTGACAGAAGCCAGACACAAAGGCCACATTCTGTATATGATTCCATTTACATGAAATATCCAGAATAGGCAAATCCATAGAGACAGAAAGCAGACTAATGGTTTCCAGGGGCTGGGGCTGCGGGTGGGTCATGGAAGCGACTGCATAATGGGTATGGGTTCCTTCTGGGATGATGAAAAAGTTCTGAAACTAGATAGTGGTGATGGGTGCACAACATTGTGAAGGTACCTAATGCCACTGAATTATACACTTTAAAATAGTTAAAATGGTAAATTTTATGGTACGTGTATTTTACTACAATAAAAAATAAAAAGACTGTGTCGTGAGCTAGAGGCCTTGCAAGTCCCAATAGCATTTCTCCTTCTTCCTCTTCATCCAGCAAACCCCAGGCAGTGTAGCTGGTGGTTTCCTTACCTTGTTCCCCTCGGGGAAGAGCCAGCCAGCTGCAGATGCCCCTGCCCGGAGACCCTAGCCAGCTACAGTCAACTGAGGGGAGAGAGAAACCCAGCACCTGGCGGGTGAACACTGAAGCCAGAGTTTCCATGATCAGAGCCGGACCTCAAACATGAGGCTCCAGATCTTTATTTGGGGGCTGGAGCGCCCTCTGGTGGGCAATTGGAGAGCAACCCAATTCTAACTTCCCCTGCCCATTGTACTGCTCCCCCACCCCGGGAACTTCTCTTTCTCAACCTGAGCCCCCAGGGAACCCACCTGGACGCCCGTTGTTGATGAAAATATATAAACCATACAAACACAAGCACAAAACACTTCTTCCCTTACTGATTGACTGACATCGTCCGTGGAAGTAATTCATGAGCAAGGTCCTGCCTGGCCCAACCAGCTGACCCCCAATGAGCTTGCGGTCCACAGGGCAAGCCGGTAAACCAGCAGCTCCAAGTAGAGGGGGCAGAGAGTGGTAAAGATTAGATGGAGGTGAGAGCAGAGAGCTGGTGGAGGACACAGAGCAGGGGCCCCAATGCTGAACAAGGAGACGAGGGAAGCCAGCGAGAGGGAGGTGGCGTTTGTGTGAAGGGGGAGGGGGCCCCTCTGCGTAGAAGGGACACCGCATGGCATGGCCAGGGCCCTCCTCCCTGTTCACCTGGTCCCTGCGCTTCCTCTCTCTTCCTCCCGCCCAGTCATGGGGAGCCCCCACCTCACCATTCCTTACCACACACCCTGCCCAGGAGAGCACGGTGGCGGGTCGATGTCCCCCATCTTGTTTTGTTCTTCCTACCCACCTCACTCCCGCGGGCCTGCGAGGGAACGCTTCGATTCTGAATCCTGCATGCCGATTTCTGTCCTGGGTCCACTTCTTACCTCCCAAGGGACCTTTAAGCAGAGCCCCCTGCCCTTCACTTTCAGGGGCCCGCTGGCAACTGCCCCCTCTTCGCCGTCCTCCACAGCAGCTCTGCCTAGGTGAGTTTACAACATGGGTCTCTGACAGATTTCATTAGGGAAAGAAAAAAGCTTACGCTTCTTTTAGGAAATGTTTGCAATGCGCTGGACTGACCTCCAGCTGAGGGAGCATGAGTGTCTCTCCGACTCTGGCCTGCAGGGCGCGGTGTTCGGCCCCAGCCCAGCTCTGGCGGGCAGGGGTCCCTGCAGGCCCCCCTCTAAGATCACGTCCACCCCGGCGGAGCCACGGGAGATTTTCCCACCAAGAGCTCAGACCCGACTGCCCCAGGGCGCTGCTCAAGGGACACTCCTCAGGAGCAGAGCAGAGGAGCCCTCCCGCGGCCGAGGGGACCCCAGCAGGCTCCCTGCAGTGGTGCTTTCCTTCCCGCCCTGCGGGAGAGCGGGCCGGGCGTCCCCTGCCCTGCAATGAGCGAACTGGCCACCAGGGGCAGCAGGAGGCCGAGACTGGCGGCCAGTGACTCCTAATGGCTTCTCCCCGCCCAAGTTGCAGGTCTCAGGGCCCTGGACGCGCAGGCCCGACGTCCCTGCCCCTCGTCACACAGAGGCCAAAAGGGAGTCCCAGCGCGCGAGCGCGCGCCCCAGACCGCCCGGGGAGGGAGGCGGCCACAGAAGGCCGCCACCGGGTCGCCACGGCGCGCGGGGGGATCCAGAGCCTCGGGGCCCCACCCTGGGAGCACGTGGGCTCTGGGCTCCCAGGCCAAAGACGAGTGGCAGACACGCGGCCGCGGCGGCAGAACTACTCCTTACCCTTACCGTACAGTGGCGCGTTGGAGGAGGCCAGCCGAGACAGGCGCCGCGCAGCCGGGGAGGGCTTCCTGGAGGCCGGGCTTGGGCTGAGCGTGGGTGGGATTTCAGTGGCTGGTGGGGGGGGGGGCACACTTCAGGATCACTGGAGCCACCGGCGCGGGGGGCCAGCCTGCTGGGGCCCGGGCTGGGGAGCAGTGGGAGGGAGAGCTGGAGCAGGGGCAGGCTGGGCCTGGCAGCCGGCCAGCAGGCGGAGGACCCAGGGCCGCCAGAGCGGGCGGAGGACCCAGGGCCGCCAGAGCGGGCTGAGACCTGGGGCTGGAGCCCTGGGAGGTGCTGGATTTGCTGAGAACCACGTGGTCTGCGGTGCTATGGGGCCTGTGAGCTGGGGGAAGGGGAGCAGGAGCTCCCGGAGGGGCAGGCCGAGGTTGCTCATCTCCGGTTCCCCAGCGCTTGGCGAAGCCTGGCCCGTGGAAGGGAGCGGCAGACGTTCGGCTGAAATGAGTGGACTGTGTAAGGGGATGAGCGTCCTCAGTTCCTGTCAGCAGAGAGGGCAGACAGAGTGGGATTGTGGTCTGAGGAAGAGTGGGGACTTCAGAGGCAGAGAGGACAGAGGGGAGTCCAGAAGCCTCTTCTCAGAACCCCCAGCCCACGGCAAGCAGGAGAGGGCCACCAGCCCAGGGGGAGCTGGGCTGAGCCTCTTGCCACCTCCACCAGCCCATGGGCCCTCCCAGCCCTGTCCTGCTTGGGCCTCTCTCACCAGGCTCTCCCCTGACCTGCTGGGTGCCCTGCAGCAGTCATGTTTTCCTCTGAGCCTCGATTTCTCCTCCTGACCTGGACAGGGCAGGACCAGATGTTCTCTGAGGGCCCTTCCGGTATGACAGGCCAGGATGGGAGGCCACCCTGCACTGCAGGGACACGACATGCTGACCCGGACTGAGGGAGAGACTTCATTTAATCCTGCCCCTCCCAGGCTTAAGGTTGCAGTTCATAAAAGAAGTGCTGTTGCGAGCAGACAGGGGTCACCAGTGCTGTGGCTCCTCTCTGTCCTCATGAGGCCTCCGGTGGACCCAGACAGCTCTGGGCTGGAGTAGTGAACACCAGGGCTACAGGCTATCAGGACTCCTGGGCAACGGGCCATGTGACTTCATGAAGCTTCGCATGTGTCTAACTGCCTTCTTCACCCTCGTGTCTTTGGGATCTGAACAGGACAGTAACAGACCTACAGAGAGGGGAAAAAACCCTCAGGGACTGCCTGGGTGGGAAGGGCCCTGAGCCCTGAGACCAGCCCCCACCCTGAACAGACCAGGAGCCTGAGACCCAGAGAGGCCAAGGTCACATGGGAGATTGGACACAGATCTAGGACATCAGGTTCTGTCATCAGAAACTCTCAACCCTCTTAGGGTCCCTGCCTCAGTCCTGGCACAGCAGAGAATCTGCTGGACCCTGGAGAGAAACTGCCTGACCCTACTGGGAGCCAGGAACTGCAGGACTTCCTGTCCCCACCTCCCGACTGCCACATCCAGAGACCATCTAGAGGCTGTTCATGAAACAGGAGAATTGGGGTGAGCCATGGCCTTCTGGCCCCTCCTCTGGCCTAAGGGACATCGGCCACTGGTTTGCTTGTGACCAGGGAGCAGTGCCATCCATCTCTGGCCCTCAATTTTTCTATAATGAAAGACTTGGACCCCATAACCTGGGGCACTTCTGGGTCTGTGTGTGGTCTGGAACTGCCCAAAGGAGCAGGGCCAGATGGGAGCAGGAAGAAGGGCCCTGCTCTTTCCTCTGTGTTCTGAGGGCCCTAGGGTCTGCCCCCACCCATGCTCAGCCCCCAGGCTCCTGGGGGAGGGGAGACTTACACAATGACGTCCCAGGGACACTCCACTGAGGTCCTATACCAAGGCATAAGCTTTCTGGCAGGAATGGTTCCTTGCAGGTATTCAAGACAGCACTCTTGGCCAACACTGGTCATTTGAGCCACAGAGAGCACAGGAGAAGGTATGTCTAGGGGGTGAGAGGTGGCCTGTGAGGGTGTATCTCTCTGTGTATGTGGGGGTCTGTGGGGTACACTGTGTGTCTGTGTTTTTGGAGGGTGTATGTGTCTTGTTTGTATCTGTGGGAGAGGTGTAGGGGCTTCCTGTGGGTGATTGTGTGCATGTTTTAATTTCCACTCCTTAGAGTACTACCAAGACTGGATATCTCTTGCTTTATCAGTCATTTTAATATCTTTTGAAAAGCTGCCTTCTAGTATCACTTGCTGGGTTTTATCAGATTACTTACCTTTCTCTTAATTTTAAGATCTCTGGTATATTAGATACTACACTTTTGTAACACAAATTTTACAAACGTATTTCCATTTTTTGTGCTTTATCTTTTAACCTTATTTGGGATTATTTAAAATAAAAACATAAATATTTAATTTTGAAAAGTCAATTCATCAATATTTTCCCTTATGGCTGGTTTCTAGCTTTCATCTGGTGCTTAAAAAGGTTTTCTCCATTCCATGAAAATAAAAAGATTTACTCATCTTTTTCCTTTTTAAAGGAAATCTTTATTGTTTTTCCTCTTTACAAAAGGGATGCATGCTTGTTGTCAAAAATGAAGGGGAAATAAATTAATTTAGGTAGAGTGAGTATCTTTATGAGTTTCCCTATTCAAGAACAAGGTTTCCCTCTGTCTCCCCATTTATTTAAATTTCCTTTTGAGGCCGTCAGTGGAGATTTATAGTTTCTCCATATAGGCCCTTCATAATAATTGAGTCTATTCCTAGAAAATCTACTTTTCTTGATGCTGTTTGGAATGGGATGTTTTCTTTCATTATATTTTCTTTGGTTGTTGGTATAAAACAAACTATTTATTTTTGGATGTCACTTTTTAACTGGTCATCAATCCTGATTTAAAACTGAATAAAATGGAAAAGATCTGTTTCCATTTGAAGACTCTGTCATATTTATTTCCCCTCTCAGGGTTTTCCACCAGGGCAAATTTGATGATACTTCATCCATTTCAGCATTAACCATCAGAATTTTCTATATCCTTCTCATTAGGATTTTCCTTCACTATGGACACTCTGATGCTGACTAAGTTGGAAGCTAAACCTGAAGGCTTTCCCACACATATTACACACATAGGGTTTCTTCCAAGTATGGACAGTCTGATGTATAATACAGTCAGAGCTATAGCTGAAGCCTTTGCCACACTCCATGCATCTGAAGGGTTTCTCCCCAGTGTGGCTTCTCTGATGCCGAATTAAATGGGCATTAACGTGGAAGGCTTTTCCACATTCCTTACACTGAAAGGGTTTCTCTCCAGTATGGATTCTCTGATGTACAATATAGTCAGAACTACAGCTAAATGCTTTCTCACATTCCACACATTTGAAAGGTTTCTCCCCAGTGTGTATTCTCTGATGCCTAGTTAGTTTGGCATTGATACTGAAGGCTTTCCCACATTCCTTACATTGATAAGGCTTTTCTCCAGTATGGATTCGGTGATGATCAAGTAGGTTTCTTTTAGAAGTAAAGCATTTCCCACACTCATTACATTCAAAGGGTTTCTCCCCAGTATGCATCCTCTGATGCTGCATTAGTTTTGCATTAACATTGAAGGCCTTCCCACACTCCTTACACTCGTAGGGCTTCTCCCCAGTGTGGATTCTCAGATGCTGCCGGAGCTGAGAGTTACACCTGAAGGCTTTCCCACATTCTTTACACTCATAGGGTTTTTCACCCGTGTGGATTCTCTGGTGCTGGATTAACTTCCCTTTGACGCTAAAGGCTTTTCCACATTCAGTACACTCATAGGGTTTCTCACCTGTGTGAATTCTTTGATGCTGAATGAGTTTTGCATTATTACTAAAGGCTTTTCCACACTCCTTACACTGATAGGGCTTCTCTCCAGTGTGGACGCTCTGATGCTGCCTAAGCTGGGAGCTGCACCTGAAGCCTTTCCCACACTCATTACATTCATAAGGTTTCTCTCCAGTGTGGATTCTCTGATGTTGAATTAATTTTGCATTAACATTGAAAGCTTTCCCACAGTCATTACACTGGTAAGGTTTCTCTCCCGTGTGGACTCTCTGGTGTGTGATATATGCAGAACTGCAGCTGAAGCCACTTCCACACTCCTTGCACTGATAGGGCTTCTCTCCTGTGTGGATTCTCTGATGCCGACTTAGACTCCCATTAACGCTGAAGGCCTTCCCACACACCTTACACTGATAGGGCTTCTCTCCACTGTGGATTGTCTGATGTGTGATATAATGGGAACTGTAACTAAAACTTTTCCCACACTCAACACACTTGAAGGGTTTCTCCCTGCTATGAAGTCTTTGATGCCAAATTAATTTTGCATGAATGCTAAAGGCTTTGCCACACTCCTTACACTGATGGGGCTTCTCCCCAGTGTAACTATCTTGATGCTGAGTAAGTTGAGAGTTACACCTAAAGGTTTCCACTAATTCTTCACATTTGAAAGGTCTTTTCCCAGTGTTAAGTATTTCATGCTGAATAAGTTTTGTGTCAAAGCTGAAGGCTTTCTCCAGTCCAGTACACTCAGGGGATTGCTCTCCAGTGGAGACAGTGTAACACTGATTCAAGTTTGGACTTTGATTAAAGAAACACTCCTCCATGGGGCTTGTGTCGTCTTTCACTGTTCCATCAATGATACTGTTTTCTTTCTTCATACTTCCTACTGAGTGAGCTTCCTCTTGTTTCTCTAGAACAAAGGCTTCTGAAAAGGCTGTTTCCTGGGAAAAGTCCCTCTGAAGTTCAAATGATGTATTAACTTTTTCTTCATCCATTTCCTTTGTCAAATTATTGTCAGTCTGAATATCAATATCTACTATAAAAAACCAGAAAACACAAAATATCATGTAAGAACCGTGTTAGAAAAAAGAAAAGAATTGTGTTAGAAAGAATAAAGGAACCATAGTAAACAAGGGGTTCTTTAAAAATCACCAGATTAGATTAAAAAAATCTAAGATTTATCCATAGGTGGGATAATATGTAGCTGGTAAAAAAAATGAAATAAATCCATATATGCCAACATGAAAAGATGTCCAAGGTACACTGTTAAGTGAAAAAACAAGTTGATGAACAGCATGTAGAGTACATTCCATTTGTGTAAAGGAAAATAAAAAGGGCCAACATAAACACATAAACTTGTATATGCCTAGAAAACTTGTGGAAGAATACATAAGAAACTGAGCAAACTGGCACAAGAAGTTTGGTAGACTTTTTTCCCCCTACTTTATATACTTCCTGTACTATTTGTCAATATCATCCATGTGTCAATATTATAAATTTTAAAGTACTATAGTGATTTTTTAAAAATTGCCAGTCTCTAAACCAATAACCAATAACACGAAGGGTAAAGGTGACAACAGTGGAACAAAATTCTAGGCCTTATCCACTAGATGAGCATTCCTTCCATCACACCATGCAGTAGTCCCCCCTTATGCACAGGGGATATGTTCCAAGACCCCCAGTGGATGCCTGAAACCTCGGATAGTACCAAACCCTATACCGAACCTGACACCAAACAGTGGATCTGATAACTGAGAGGGCTACTGAGTGACTAAGGGGTGGGCAGCATGACAGGATGGATACACTGGACAAAGGGGTGCTTCATGGCCTGGGTAGGACAGAGTGGAACAGCAAGAGATTTCATCATGCTACTCAGAATGGCATGCAATTTAAAACTTATCAACTGTTTATTTCTGAGATTTTCTATTTAACACTTTCAGACTGCAGTTAACTGCAGGTAATGGAAACCAAGGAAGTGAAACTGCAGATAAGGGGGACTACTTTACTTTACCATACTCTGCAGTTTCTTCTCAATTATCCCTATGTTGCTGAGTCCCTTGTTAATAAAAATGGAAATTGCTTAAGGAGGAAAAGGCACAGGATCCAACAACACGTGGCAACAATGGGAATGGCAAGTGTTAGCAGCACCAGGAATCAAAAGGGGAAGAATTTTGTTTCTTTCTTTAGAACTTAAACTCTAGGTTTTCCAAAATGCCTCCTTCAGCTTGTTTTCTCTGCTTCAGAAAGGCTCTGCTCAGGCCCACATGATCCCTTTGATCCCACCCCTTCCCTCCCTCTCCAGAACACAGATGCTTCCTCCTTCCTTTCTGTCTACTGTACCCCCAACCCTAAAACTGGTCATTCCCTAAAATTCTTTCTATAATCCCATTAGTCTTTCTATAATCCTTACAGTCCCAACAGAGCTACTCATCTCTGCATTTGTTCCCAAATTTCTCAAAATTGGCCCTAAAATGCTGTCTCTATTTTTTCATCTCTCATCTCTCCTCAAACACATGTAATATGCCGCCTATTCCAGTATTTCATTATAATCACCCTCAAAAGACCCAATGATTTGGATTTCTCTAGCAAGAATTTTCAAAATACTATTGGTCTTTTCCAAATTATGAAAATAATATTCATTTGTAGTATCAGAAAGTTACAAAGAAAAAAATTCAAATTACCTGAAATACAACCACCTAACAATAACTACTGCTATCTTCTGCAGGATCTCCTTCCCCAATCATTTTCTTTCCAATCAGTTTTCTAAAAGCATATATTCTTTCCAAATTGAAAATTTTTTCTTCCTTAACATTAATAACAATTTTCCAATGCCTTTAGTTATTCTGTAAAAATATATTTTTAAATTGCTAAACAGTATTCCATTCTGCAGAGGTAACTTAATTTAACCATTCTCTCTATACTGGAAATCCAGGTTATTTCCAATATTTTATTATATAATATTATGATGCAGTTTTGTGCATATGCATCTTTGTCTATATCTCCCATTACTTTATTAGGATACAGTCTTAGAAGGAAATATCCAGGTTATCAAGTACAGACTGTTTTTTTTTTCAGTGAGGAATACTGGCCCTGAGGTAACACTTGTTGCCAATCTTCCTCTTTTTGCTTGAGGAAGATTGTCACTGAGCTAACATCTGTGCCAATCTTTCTCTATCTTGTATGTGGGACACCACCACAGCATGGCTTGATGAGCAGCATGTAGGTCTGCACCCAGGATATGAACCTGTGAACCCTGGGCCATTGACGCAGAGTGCACAAACTTAACCACTACACCACCAGGCCAGCCCCTCAAGTACAAACTTTTAAAAGGCTCTTTATAGGTATTGCTAAAATACTTTCTAGAAAGACTACTAATTCACATTCACCTCCAGAAGTCTTTCCTGTTTTGCTGTACTCTCACTATCACTTACTATAATTTAATTGTTCTCAATATAAGAGGTGAAATATCTCTCATTGTTTTCATTTATATTTCATGGGCTTCTGCTGAGGGTGAATATTTTTCACAATGACTAAAATTTGTACTTCTTAAGTGGATCAACCATGTATATTCTTTACCAATTTTTCCACACTAGTGACCTTCTATTTACCAAACCCCATGGTGTGGCAGATACTACTGGCTGCTTAACCAATATCCATTCTCCCTTTCTTCCTTACTAGCACATCCTCCATTTTTTATGAGTTAGCAATAAAAACTACAGCTAAAAACTATATTTTGCACCCTCTCTTGAAGTAGAGGTGGCCATTTGACACAGTTCCAGCAAATGAGATATAAACAGAAGTCACCTGGTAGGGCTTCTGAGAAAGTTGTTTAAAAAAAGTCAACCCTGCTGACACGGGCTTTGTGCCCTACACCTTCCCCTCCGCCTGCCTAAAACCCATCTGATTTCTCACCCCAGTTAACCTACCAGATTACACTGACTAGATCAATCTTTCTATATCCTCAGCTAAAATCATGACAGGTTGTACAAGAACTTCAAAGACTTCAGGACTGTCTGCTGCCTACAGAATGAAATCCAGACCGCTTTGATTAAGGAACTCTACAATATCACTTTCTTCCCCTCTATATGTCAAGCACTTTAAACTCCCCATTTAAAACACATCTTCCGGGTCAGGGATCATCTGGTTGAATGGATCACAAGGAACAAAAATCCACTGAAACTATCTTTTAAAGAAAAAGGATTCATTCAAAGGATACAAGAGAATCTTATGGACCCCAAATGCAGAGAGTAAAGCAGGGCCTCATGGGAAACAGGAAATCATCTGGTAAGTACTCTGCTGCAGCAAGTGAGAACCTTGCTACTTCAAGTATGGTCTGGGAACCAGAAACATTGGCATAACCTAGGAATTAATAGAAATGCAGAATCCTGGCCCCACTGCAGACTTACTGAATGACAAGACATATGTTTGCAAGACACCCAGGTGATTCATTTGCACGTCACTTGAGAAGCACTGAATTGAGAGCATTTTCTCCCTTCTGCCTTATTTCCTGCAGTTTACTATGTACAGCTGTCTCCACCAATGAAAAATAATAAAAACTAATATTTCATTGAGCACATATTATAAGTTAGGCACTTTATACATTATCTCGTTTAATCCTCAACCTATAAGACTAGCACAATTACCTCATTTTATTATTATTCCATTTTCAGAGATAAGAACAGTGATCTTAGAGAATTCAAATAACTGACATGCTCAAAGTCACAACTAGGAAAACAGCTGGGACTGGACCTGAAGAAAGTCTACTCCAAAGACTGTACCCTTAACCACCAGGCTATTCTGCCTCTGTGCATAAAAAGGCTGTTAATTTCCCATTCTCCAGATTAGGTGGACAATGCTTAGAAAATAGCAAGGACCCAAAAAATTACTAAATCCATTCATTTTGTCTGACAAAGGTGGGGTTCCAAAATTAGGACTGAAAAGAATTAGAATGAGGCATGGAAAAAATAGCTGTTCTTGGAATTACAAAGAAACAGCAAACTGTGAAAATAGAAAGGTCTCAGTTGTACATATCTCTATAAATCATTAAAATTTATTTAAATTTTTTTTTTTTTTTTAAAGATTTTATTTTTTCCTTTTTCTCCCCAGAGCCCCCCGGTACATAGTTGTGTATTCCTCGTTGTGGGTTCTTCTAGTTGTGGCATGTGGGACGCCGCCTCAGCGTGGTCTGATGAGCAGTGCCATGTCCGCGCCCAGGATTCAAACTAACGAAACACTGGGCCGCCTGCAGCGGAGCGCGCGAACTTAACCACTCGGCCATGGGGCCAGCCCCAAAATTTATTTAAATTTTACTCTGTACAGCTGACCAACAAACGAGGCATGCTTACATGTTGCTAAAGTTGACTTTCTCCCTAAAGAGTTAAACTTCCCAGCATAACAGGCAACACAGGCCTCCCTTACCAGTCCAGAGGGCCTGGGGGCATGCTTCTGTCCCAGCAGCCAGTGGAGATGGGCCCCCCAGCTCACCTCCTCCTTCCAGTTGTGAGATCACAGCAGGTTTGAGAAGTGGAAATCCTGTTTCGGGGAAAGGAAAAAGGAGAGACAGGTGAATAATCTCCACAGATGAGTTCCTAAACCTCTTCTCAGATTGTCTCAGCAATGGGGAGCCCCAGGGGCTTCCATGCCTGAGGACTATGGGCAAAGGGCAGCGGGGGGGGGGGGCGGGGAGGGCTTCTGAAAGTGGGGGTTAGAAGGCGTATATGTGTGTATGACTGGGGGTGGGGTTGAAAAGGTATGGGAGGAGTTGGGAAGGGCTCAGACTGTGGGCCTAGGAGACCTCAAGAGACACTGGTAAGATGTGGGAGAACCTGAAGATAATACTGTGGAACAGGAAGTTACTTCTTCCCACACTGTCTCCAAAACACAGCTTCTATAGGGCGGATCAAGAGTGCACACCAGGGTCCGGCCCAGTGGTGCAGCGGTTAAATTCACACGTTCCACTTCTCGGCAGCCCGGGGTTCACTGGTTCCAATCCCGGGTGCAGACAAGGCACCGCTTGGCAAACGCCATGCTGTGGTAGGTGTCCCACATATAAAGTAGAGGAAGATGGGCATGGATGTTAGCTCAGGGCCAGGCTTCCTCAGCAAAAAGAGGATTGGCAGTAGTTAGCTCAGGGCTAATCTTCCTCCAAAAAAAAAGAGTGCACACCAGTCCCAACAAAGTCCTATCATGGTCCAAAAAGTGTTTGAGGTTCACCCTTCTCACCAACCCCTCAGTCTACAGGATTAGAAATCTCAGTCACTGGGGTTCCCACTCAGTAAAAGATCCCAGAGACCCCACCTGCAACCCGGCAGGGGCAGGAAATCCCAACTGGCAGAGTCTCGGTCCCGGGGGGAGAGAGGCCTTACCCAGGGAGGCCATATTTCCATAATTCTCCAGCATCACATCCCTGTACAGGGCCCTCTGTGCAGGGGACAGGCTGTCCCATTCCATCTGGGTGAAGTACACAGCCACATCCTCGAAGGTCACCAACTTCTGAAACAACAGGTTCCTGCTGCCCTAGGGCCAATTCCATGGCTCAGGCCCTAAGTGAGGGGCAGAGGGCAGTATAAGGGCTTGGGGAGGGAGCTTGTGAAGAGCATAAAATTAATAACAAGGGGAAAGACTTGAGAAAAAAGCACCTGGAAAGTAAACCATGAAATATCTGACCAACCTTGCGTCATATTCTACACTTATAAAAGATACCATAAGTTGGGATAAAGAAAAAAAATCCCATAACCAAGTTCTGCTAAAGGAACTCCATTGTTTCAGTAGGCCACTCCTTCACTGGCGGATGGAGGTCAGAACAGATCCACCAGATTCCCACTTCATCGCCTTGATGTCTTGGCTTCTCCACCCTGCTCCTCACGCCTCGTCCCCACCAGCAAACCTAAGCCATCCACAAAGAACTGCCATAGTTTCCACGTCATCCAGCCCCCATCTGCTGCCTGATTCCCATCACTGACCCCCCTATGAGCTCAGTGTTGCCCCGACTGGCTAGGGATGGGCGGAAGCAGCCCATCCTGCTTCCAGATGGGTCTCGCTGAAAACTCAACATTGTCTGTCACCCTCTCTCATTCAAGCCTCATCCTTTTCAACTTGACCCAAGAGTTCAGTGTTTCTCCAAGAAGGTTTGGACAAGAAGGGCAGTCAGCCTTCCTGTTGGCTGCTCCTCTTTGCATCACCACACTGTGTGGTCAGCACAGGCCCTGCCATCAGGGCTGATACCAAGCACTGCTCCCAGGCCCAACTCCTCCCTCCTAGGCAGCTGCAGCCTCTGGTAGCTCTCCCGCTGCTCTCCTCAGCCTTCTGTAGCAACCTCAGGGATGCACTGGCACGGATTTGCCCTCAACTCCTCTCTGCCAGGATCTGTCTCGCTTGATTCAACTGACCTCCACCCATCAACAATTCTAGTCCAACATCTGGGCATTTCTGTGAGTCACTCCCTGAGTGACCTTGGACAGGTCCAGTAACTTCTCTGCACAAAACTAAAAGCCTTCACTGCCCACTGCCACCACCCTTTACCCTGCTAAGTTGGCACCTCCTCCTGAATTCAAACCTCAGCTGGTGACATCCACTGCCACCTGCACAGGAAACCTCAGCCAGAGCCCTGGGGATTTGTTCTTGACTCCGCCCTCTCCCTTACCCCACCTCCTCACTTTGACTGCACGTCCCAAAGATTTCTTTGTTAGGCATTCCGTAAGTGGATCCCCCCTCTTTAACAACTACTTTCCTTGATGAAGCCCACATCACTTGGACCAGTGGAATTCTTTCTGAAGTGGTCACCTTGCTTTTGAATTACTCCTGAAAATTACTCCCTACACAGCTGTCACAAATCTGACCATGTTAACTTCACTGGTTCCACAGGTGCCACAAGGCTGAGCAGTTAACAATCACACAATGGCTGTGTAACCTTGGACAAGTCACCCTTGGCCCCCTTGCCTTCATGTCTTTTGTGGCGGAATGAGCACAACACAGCACCTGTTGTCAGGAGCATGGTTGTCAGGACTGAGTGATCCATGCAAAGTGCTTAGCATGGTGTCTGCAGCATAGTAAGCCCCAAAAAATGTTACTGGAGTTACTGTGACTGATTATTCCCAACCTGGAGTCCATGGAGGTCCATGGATGAGCTTCAGGGGGTCCATGAAGTCCCTGAAATTGCAGGGAAAATATGGTTTGCACGTTTATTTCTCTTGGGAAGATGGTCCAGAGCTTATCAGAGACCTAAATGTTTAGCCAGTGTACTCCAAGCCCCGAAAGTCTCTGCAGGTCACAAGGAGACATCCTGTCCCAGAGGACTTCCTGTCTTTTTCCCTCCCTTGACCACACTCCCCTCGTCTTCCCCTTCCTTGAATTACAGACATAGCCACCCTTTATGTTGATTCGGCCCTGCTAGTCCTCTTCACCTACACCCTGGCCCCTGGGAATCCTAATCCTCTGCTATCCTCCTTCATTCACATTCACACACAGAGCATCCTACATGGGCATCTTCCACGTCTCCTATTCACCAGAGCCCTTTGCTGGGGGAGCTCCCGTACCAGAGAAGCAAAAAAAACTCAAGTGCAGAAGACTACACTCCGGCCTTCAGGGACGTTCTCCTGCTGCTTCCATCCCTTCACATCACCGCTCTTCCCACAAGTTCCAGTCTGGCAGGCAGAAGCGTGGAAGCCCTCTCCAGCTTTCACGGCAAGGCTCACCAGCTTCCCTTCTCAGTTTTTTTCAATTTGAAACTGCACAGAGGAAGAGCTGAAGGACCCACAGCTCACCTGGGGCCAGGCTGTCAGGAGTATGGCTGCCATGACCTGGTCTCCCTCTCAGAGAAGGACTGGAGCTGAGGGAAAACAGAGAGAGCCAAGTGTGAGGCAAGCCACCCCCACCAGGAACAACACAGCCCCTCACAGAAGATCTGAGACCCAGGCAGCCTGGGTCCAGATGGGAGTGCCAGCAGGAGCTGCCACAGGAAGAAGGGAGTGATCTGTTCAGTGGCTCGGTGCCAAGGACTCCTCCCAGACATGACACTGACACCCACTGCTAGGGACCCTAGCATTTTACAATTCTGATACATATCATACACACAAAACAGTGTACATAAAATGTATGCAGAGCCTAAAGAATAATAAAACAAAGACTCCTGTATCAATGATTCAGCTCAGGAGATAAAACATTAGTAAGATCTTTGACTTACTCCTCTTGCTCTAAATGAGTATCATCCTCTATTTCACTGCAGGAGAAGCCAGGCTGGCGGGGCTGTCACTCTAGCACAGAGGCCTCTGAGTCAGGCCAAGGGAGGCAGCATCCTGCCCTGTTCCCTCACTCAGCTGAGCGCCCTCAAGAGTCCTAATCCCTCTGTAGAGCCCTTGGGAGGTCAGCCTCCTGCACAGTGCAGACTTACCTTGAGGAAGCTGGGCCGGAAGTGAGGTACCAGACTGCCTCCTGATACTTTCCAGGCTTCTGACAGCGAAGAAGCCAAGGCATCAGCTCCCTGAGAGAGGGGATCACTGTAGCACCTAGGGTTCCATGACCCAGCACCCCTTGTTCACTATATTCAAAAACACATGGACTGGTTATTTTCTGATTTTTATTCTCCTAAAGTCAGTTTGAAATTATGCATGCTTTCCTAAAATTTCATCTACATCTTCCAGGATTTCAACTTTAGTGCAGAGTTGTGGAAAACACTGGTTCATGATTTTTGGTTCCTCCCTATTTGGAGCTACTTTGCTTTTCCCAATTCTTTTGAGTATACGTGCTTTCTAGACCTTTTCCCCTTGGTTAGTGTTGTGAATTGAATGTGTCCCCCCAAAATTCTGATGTTGAAGCCCTAACCGCCAATGTGACTATATTTGGAGACAGGAGCCGTGAGGAGGTAACAAGGTTAAATAGGTCCTAAGGGTGCAGCCCTAATCCAATAGGACTTGTGCGCTTATAAGAACAGGAAGAGACTCCAGAGTGTTCTGTCTCTGTCATGTGAGGACACAGCAAGAAGGCAGCCAACTGCAACCCAAGGAGAGGGCCCTCACCAAGAACCAAATTGGCCGGCACCTTGATCTTGGACTTCCAGCCTCCACAACTGTGAAAAATAAGTTTCTGTTCTTTAGGCTACAGAGTCTAAGGTATTTGTTATGGCAGCCCAAACAGACTAATAAAGTTAGGCTGAGCACTGGTTTATCTATTTGAATGTTTTCTTTTATTTCCAAAGCTCTAGCTTTTTTATTTATTTAGAACACCACTCTTTTTTTCTATTTTTTTAAATTCATTAAGTTCTGCTTTCTTAGTTTGTTTCTTTAGCTCTGTAAGAGACAGCTTATGTACCAGCCAATGTTCTTGTCTCACTCTTATCCAGTTCCAGAAGCTTTGATCAGCTTTGTGCAGGTGCATCCTACCAACGCCTCTGCAAGGATCTATATCACACATGTCTGGCTCCTGCCCTGGGGCTTCTCTGGTGTCCTGTGTGGGACACTTGTGGGACCCCGAAGTACAGGAGAATTAATGCCTTGTGATGCCACCTTTGACAAACAGTGGACAGAGGTCAATGGATAAATGTTTTCCCCTTTAGTCCATGAGATTCCAAGGCTCCTCAAAGATGCTGCAAGATAGAGTACCAGTCAGCTGCAGAAGGGCCAGCCTGACAATGCATCCTTTGTTTTGGCTCTCCCCCCTTCTCTGCTCCACTTTCCTTGTCTTTCACTCTGCCTGGGACTGCATTCCCAAATAAGTCACCTACACACAAATCTTCGTCCTATGCTCTGCTTTCGGGGAAAGTTAGACTATAAAAGGCTTTTTTCCTACCTTCTTGAAGTTGCATGATTTACTCGTTTTTATTTTTTCCTATTTGACAATTAAAACCCATAAGACCACAAATTTTCCTCTGAATACACTATTAGCCACATTCCAGAGGTTTTTTATATTTGTTTTCATTACTATTTTATTGCTAGTCAGCAACTGTGTTTTGTCCCTAACCAAAGGATTGTTTAGGCTAGTCTGTTGTTGTTAATTTCTTCTCTGTTCATAATTTATAGCTTTATTGCATGGTATTTAAATATTCTGATCTATTTACTTCTGCTTTACAGATTTTTGAGGTTTTTTGGTGGCTGAAGTGTCCGTTTAAAAAATACTCTATAGATGCTTAAAAAGAAAACATATTCTATGATGAAAGAACATATAATTCTACTTGAATCTAATAAGTCAACTCTACCAATTTCATTATATAGATTTTCCTCTGTAATCCGTGATTACTTACCTAATTAAACTGAGATAGCCAGTAAAGAGTGAACTCTCATAAAACACTAAGCCCATATGTATCATGGGAAAATCTTTTCAAATCGTCAAGAAATGAACAATTCCAACACTATTTAAACTGTAGCAGAGAACAGCAAAATACGTTTCCCAGTCCTTTTTACGATGCCAGAACAATACTGACACAAGAACCAGAGACCAGTCTCATTATGAATATGAATACAAAAATCCTAAATATTAAGGAATAGAATCCAGTAGTTCATTAAAGCAACATACCATGACTAAGAGGGATCATCCCATGAATGCAAGTAAAGCTCAGTATTAGGATACAGATTAGCATACTTTTCCACATTAATAAATCAAAGAAAGATAAACATACTCTCCATCTCAATAGATGCCAAAGGCATTTGATAACATTCAACACTCATGCCTAAATTTTAAACCTTATACCCTAGAGAAACAAACCCTCATATGTAGGATTATGTACAAAATTATTCATTACCAGCAGTATCTTAGCAAAAAACTGGAAACAACCCACATGTCCACTGAGAATACATAAATAAGTTGTCGTATTGTTTACAATGGAACATCACTCAGCAGTAAAAAATGAAGAATCACAGCCCCACACAACAACATGGATGAATTTAGGAACATAATGTTGAGTTACGCAAGTCCTACATGACTAAAGACACCATGATGCTATTTTCATAAAGCTTGAAAACAAACAAAATTAAACACACTGTTTACAGACACATGTATAAATGGTAACATTATTTTCAAAAATAGGCAAGACCATGATTAACACAAAATTCAAGACAGTTGTTACCTCTAGGGGTGGGAAGCTGGGAGCTGGGTTGGGGAGGAGCACAAAGATAGATGCAGCAGTACTGGCAATGTTCTCCTTAACGGGATGGTGTGTCCATGGGTGCTGATTTTACTACTATGCTTCTTAACTGTCATTCTAGATGCCGTCCTCTGTATACATGAATGACATTTAAAAAAACATAATTATCTCTATGATATTGAGTGATTTCCAGAACAGATCGTCAAATGAAAAAAGCAAAGTGCAAAAGGTACTGTACTACCTTTCGTGTAAGAAAAAAAAAGGAAGTATAAGAAAATACATCATTTGTGTAAAAAGAAATAGAAGGATAAACCAGACAATAAGGAGAAATGGTTGCCTCCGGTGTGAGTGAAAAGCGGGTGAAAGGAACCTGGGAATGGAAACAGGATGGAAAAACAGGAGGTAGAAGGGATGAGGGACGAGTGACACTTCTCTTGACTGTGCCTTTTTGCTCTGACTTTGTAACCAGAACAATGCTTCACATATCCAAATAAATAAACAGATACACACATATATAAAATCAACCAACCAGGATGCGATGGGGGTGACAACCCAAAAAGGAATACAAACAACAGCAAATGAGCCAAACTACACTACAACTGAATAACATAACCACAGTGAAGTGGCGGGCAAGAAAAGAACTAAGTAACTTTGGAAAACAGTATTTTAACTAACTACTACGAGGCTAAAAACACCTGTGCCCAAATGCTTCTTGTGGTTGCAAGATTTACTAATTTTTCATTCTTTCCTATTTGGCAATTAAAACCTATAAGGCCATAAATTTTCCCTTGAATACACTATGAGCCACATTCCAGAGGTTTTTTTTATATTTCATGTTTTAGTTATTATTTTACAGCATATTTTTAACAAACTCGCTTTTTCATGAGGGTACGAATGAGCAATTCTGGAACTATTTTACGTGTATTCTAGGATTGAGGAAATCAGTAACTATACTGTAGAAGTCAATACCAAGTTTCGGTCATCCCACAGCCGGAGAGAAGTAGGGCCGAGTTACCTTTGGGAACTGATACCGCTCCAGGAGATAGTGCCCTCCGAAAGCCAGGCTGCTTCTGCTCTCGGGTGGCTAGGGGGGCCCTGCTTCACGATCCTCTGTTAAGAGCCAGGGAGTATACAGTCCATACGTGAAATGCATACAAGTAGAAGCCCCTACACGACCTCAACATGTCAAAAGACTCCTGATATCACCTAAGCCCGATTCACACCTTCAAATATTCCAGCCTCTGGCTGCTCCGACACAACTTCCCAAAAGGCCAGTAGCATCTTCCCCGAACAAAGTGCTAACTGCTCGGGGCTTCGGGGCTGTGCCAGCAACCTAGGCTTCGCCTTCCACGGGACTGAACATATTCAGCCCCCAAGCCTAAAGCAGTAGAGGGCGGGCGGAAGATGACTCTGGGCCGCCGCCCCACTCCCTCCCCTAGGCGCGGGAGACCTATCACCACCTACGTTAGAGGCGCATCAAAACTGCACGCAGAGCCTCGGGGCCAGGGCAACGCCCCCGCCGGCTGCAGCCCCAAACTCACCTCCGCAGCAGGCGGCTCCCCGGCGCGGCAGGAAGTGCGTCACCAGGCCGCGGCCGAGCCTCTCTAGGAGCAGCGTCGCTCTCTCTCGGTGGTCCTCCAGCCCCGCCCCCTGCGGCCCAGATTGGTGTCCTAGAGCCTTGCGCTCTTCGCTCGCCTGTCGCAGTCTGTTGCGGAGGCCAGTTGTTCCTCGGAGTGGGCTGGGGAAGGTAAGAATCAAAGGCGAACACTGGATTCAGCCCGAGGTTGGCACCGGGGATCTGTGTCTTAGTAAACCTGCAGGTGCAACCAGATTTGGGAGTCTCCAGCCGGCCCAGTGGTGGATCGCACACTATCAGACTCAAGTCCCCCTTTTTGTGACAGTTATTTCCTAATGACTACTTTATTCTCCTGTCATGGAACTCATAGATAATGGCTTAGAAGATCATAGATAATGTAGACAACCTACATTTTGAAAACTAATGTTATGCCTTAACTGTAACAAAGGAGAAATAAAAGGAAAATAATTTATAATTAAAAATACATATTTCAGTATGTAAATGTTTGGTCATGACTGCTGTATGAGACCTAATGAAGTGGTCAGATACTTGCCTTTTCATATCTAATGTGCTTAAATGCCACAGCCACAATGCTGTGTCTTATACTGGTGTTTCGAAAATCACAAGGTATGATCCAAAATGGTGAACTCTTTTTGGTAAAGTTCTGAATGAAGCACAGTACAATCTTCTCTTGATTATACAGTAGTTATATTTCTGGAGAATCTGCATATGTTAAAACTGTGCAGAAATACATTGTGGTTATCTGAAAAACAGTTTCTAGATTCTGGTAATTTATAAACAGTTTTTACCTATGTGAATGTCCAGGAAGACATGAGAAAAGCTGTGAAAACTTTTTCAATAGGCGGGACCATCCTGTGCATTGCAGGATTTGTGGCACTCCTGGCTCCCAGCCAATACTACCAAACACTGTGACAAAATACCTCCATAAAATTCCAAAATGAGCCCTGGGGGAGGAGGGACAGCACTAAAAACCAATGAACTGACCACCCTTAAGTTCCCTCCCAACCCTGATAGTGCAGGCCTTTCTTCTTCCAGCTCTGACCTCTCCAGTGCTGCTGCTTCACTGGAAGAGGATTGGCTCCCACTCGCCTTTCCAGCCTCTTAACACTCCCGTTCTCCCCACTCTCCCCGACTCTCTCACTTGCTGAACGTACTTTTCTGTAAACCTAGAATGCCCTCCCCTTCCCATTTCCACCCTCTGTCTTGACTGTTACTTGAAGTCTCAGCTCAAATCCCATTTCCCCTAGAAAGCAAGGCTTCCCTGACCACCCACAATAAGGCAGGCCCCCCAGCCATCACAGCACCCTGTGCTTCTCAGTAGTTGGCACATTTGTATTTCTTTAATGGTGACAGTAAAAAAAAAAAAAAAAAATCTACCTTCTCTGCTGGCTCCAGGGAGCAGGGACTATATATCTGTCTTGTTCAACACCATTATCCTCAGCAAGAGCACAGGCCTGGCACAAGGAGGCATGCAATAAACTTTTTTTTCAATGTTTGGGTCCAAAGGCTTTAACCCCAATTCCTGAGTTGAACTTCTCTTTATTTCTGTGCCACTAGAGGTAGGATATGTCTTAGGCCTGGGATTATGACACTGACCATTGCCAGCGTTGCCCTGACCTTGATCATCACTCTTTCCCAAAATGAGCACTTTACATGGCTTATCTCATTCAAATAAGAAAATAGTCCCATGATTGGGCAGGGTGATAGCTGGGGATTACATTGTTCTTGGCATAAGTGCTGTTTCTACTTCTTCCTAGGCTCAGAAAGCAGACCTTTAGCTAGGAATGAGAGTTTGCCTAAAGAAATATGAAGGAATTTGGAGTTTTACAGAAATGCTTGCCCCAAATGTTGGATTATAAACCAGTTGCCTAATTTTACAGATAAGAAAAAAGGACCACCTAAATAACCATGAAGCTCCTACCACTAAGAGTGCTATGACAGGTGCATGCCAAGTTACAAAATCTCTATGGAAGGCCTGGAAAGGCAGACCACTCACTGTCTGTCAATCTCTGTTCTTCCTTTCTTATTTAGTAACAGAATCTCTAGCGAGGCAGACAGTCCAGAAAAATTACACACTTGCCAGCGCCCTTTAGGGCAAAGTGTGGACATGTAGCCAACTTCTGGCAAATAGGCTCTAAGAAAAATCAATGCTGTCCCCTTAAAGAGAAGAGACATGCCTTCCTTGGCCCTACACCCATTAGCTGGGTGGAATGCTGACAGGGTCGGGGTCGGGGGTGAGCATCTTGGACCGTATGAATAAGGATGTGGCCCCTGGGAATGACAGAGCATCCAGGAGGAGTCATGGAGCTGCTATATCAGCTCTAGACTGCTTACCTTCAGATGATATATGAATGCGATATAAGCTTTCATCCTGATTAAACCACATTGATCTGGGTTATTCAAATTAATACCCAAGCTTACATCCTAACTAATACCCCTAGTAATGAGAGATGATGGAAAACATCACTTTTTTTTTTTTTTTTTTTTTTTTTAACTAATAGCTTTCTTCTTATTTGTCCCTAGGAAGAACCTTGAGTGGTATTCTCCATGTAGTGCAATCAGGTATAAGATATTTCCCCCAAACTTGAAGGATATTGGCCCCCAGAATAACCCAGTGGTACCAGGTTCCAAACCCACAGAGCTCCCAAGGGAGTTCAATTATCAGCACTGATGCTGAACTTCCCTAGAAGAGAAAGAATCCCAACTCCCATATTGCCATAAAGAGCCTTCTAAAAGAGTGCTGCCTTTAGAAGATTACAATCACTAGGCACACAGGAGTCAAAAGTCTCAGGAAATTAGTGGAATGCAATGCAATGTGTGTTTATAGTGCAGTGCTGTCCAAGGACTCGACCACAGAAGAAAATAGGGAAACCGTGGCGCTGTCCCTGGTGCTAGCTCTGTTCTCAGCCGCGTGTTTACGGAGCTCTCCAGGGTTCCGGGTCTGAACACAAAACCTGTGTTCTCCAACTTGGTGATGGTCCGCTCTGACTAAATTTTAACCTTGATCTCCAGGTACTTGTCTCATTCTTTTGAATTCAGCTGGCCAGAACCTGCCACACATTACCTAGTGCCACAGCTTCTGCTTCTCTCTGCCTATCGCCCTGCTTCAAAATCCAGAGAAATCCAGGATGAGAATTTCTTGTGAACCCGAATAGCCAAGGGAGGCTCTTCTGCGAACTTTCCTTAGACCTTAAAGATTTCTAATAATTATAACTTGAGAAATTAAAAAGATAAAGATTACATTTTCTTGTTGGTAATAATAAATTACCTCAACACAATTTAAACATAATAAAAGTCCACAATCTAAACACCATTTAAGCATAATAAAGTGTAATAGAATCGGAAACTCCCTATGTTCCAATGGCTTTGTTCAGCCACCTTAAAACCCTTTTCCTGAGTTACCTTGCATGCAGGTGACCTGAACCACAAAAACATGTTTCATCTGAACTTCACTTTAATTAGCTAGTAAATCGCTCATGTTTATCATTCAATTGTTTCTTCACATGGTCCTGAAGAAGTCGCAGAAGGTATCATAGCCATTTTATAGATGAGGAAAAACGGACCTTCCAGGTTACAGCCTTTGTAGAATGTAGGGTATAGTGGGGGAGACAAGCTTTCAGTAATCAGCACCTGAATAAATAAACCATTGTAAGCTTTTATTCTTGTGAAGATAAAGAGCACTTGAGCAGGGCAAGGTGAGTTCTGAGTTCACACAGAACCATCCACCACAGCTACAGCTGAAAAGAAGTGTCCCTAGGGATGTGACATGGGTACCAGAGGCGTCTGCTCTATTTTCCCATCAATCTGATGGGTTTCATTGTTCCCAAACTGTAAAAGAAGCATAAACAGTGCTAATCTCAGAGTTAGGAAAATCTAAATTCATACAGATAGCTGTCCACAAAAATCCTTTCCCTTTCCAAAAAGCTTTTAGACACATAGAATTAGATTGTAGTCGTGGACTGAAGCTGAGGCTGCTAGCTGCCCACGAAAACATCCATTCTCCCCCTCCTCCTCAGTAGCAGAATTCCCAGTTTATTTGATGTAGCACACTGCCACTCAGCTAAGAAACTTCCCAGTGACCTTAGCAGCCTGGTAATACAGCCACGTGACTAAGTTCTTGACAAAAGCATTTAACTGGAAATGTCCTGTGGCACTTACAGAAAGTCCTCTTAAAAGAAAGTGTGCCTTTTTTCCTGCTTCCATATTGTGGAGTGGAACAAACACTGATGGAGTGCTAGCAGCCACCTTGGACCATGAGGATTATAACCATACTGATAGCCAAGTGGCAATCTGGAAGGAGACTGGGTCACTGCTGACATTGTACAACTGCCTTGCCAGCCCTGGGCTGTCTATGTCCTAAGACTTCTTTTATGAGAGAAATGAACTTCTGTCTTGTATTAGAGTCTACTCTTTTAGCCTTTTCTGTTATATACAGATTAACCCAATTAATTGTTAGTAAGCTAATAGCCACCCAAAGATATCAGGTCGTAATCCCTGGAACCTGTGAGTGCTACCTTAAGATGGGAAAGTTTCTGCAGATGTGGTTAAGGGTTTTGAGATGAGATTATCCTGGATTATCTGAGTGGATCCTAAATGTCATCACAAATGTCCTTATGCAAGAAGCAGAGGGAGATTAGACACAGAGGAGGTGATGTGAAGACAGCAGTAGAAATTGGAGTGACATGGCTACAAGCTAAGGAATGCTGGCAGCTACCAGAAGCTGGGAGAGACAAGGCAGATTCTGCCCTAGAGCCTCCTGAGGGAGTGTGGCCCTGCCCACACCTTGAACTCAGCCCAGGGAAACTGATTTCAGACTTCCAGCCTCCAGAAATGAGAGTAAATTTCTGTTGTTTTCAGCCACTAAGTTTGTGATAATTTGTCACAGAACCATAGGAAACTTATAATAACCATTAACTGATTCAAAGACAGTTACTCAGTTGGAAGGGGCTTTCTGACAGTGGCACTGGGTCAGGGACCATGGATGCCAACTACTTGATAGAGAAGTCCAGGAAAATGAAAACGATTAAACATCACTCACCTATCCCCATGTCTCAAACCAGCCAGCTCTCTGGTTCATCTACGTGATAGAAAATACCTATTTTCAGATGGTATTGAGAGGTATAGATGTTTAACAATCTCCCAACGCCGCACAGCCACTAAGGGTGGGGGGACCTAAGAACGAGGTCCTCTGCCTCCTAGGACAGACTACCTCCTTGCAACAGCCATAAAGACAGTCTGTACTAAACACATCGTACTGTTGTATCTCAACCTGTTTTCCCTCGTGATGCCTATTCCCCATCTACCTTCCTTTCTGTGAAGTCAGGCACAGTGTCCCCTTATCTTGACTTGATCCTGATATTCTCCTCCACCCCTAAGGAGCATTATCAGTCTCTTCAAACAACCCACTCTTCTGTTACTGAGACATACTTGTCACAGACCTTACCTCTGATTTCTATAGAGCAATACTGTGATGGCTGGAACATGGGCTCTGAAACCAGGCTGCCTGTATTGAATCCCTACTCTGCTACTTCCCATGTCCTCAGGCAACCTAATTAATCCTTCCTCAACTGTAACATGGAGCTAAGTACAGCACCTGCTTCATACAGTGGTTGTATTGAGTATGTGCAGTGATTAGGAGAGCTCAGCATACGGCGAGTGTCAAAAAATACTGCTGTGACGATCATTTATTAAAAGGCAGCTGATGCAGCAACATGTGAAACTAAGTCCCTGACCTTGGTTACTCTAACCAGTTTTTCTTTTTTCCTGAATGACTTGTAGATTTTCTGCAGTCAAAATAATCCCTCTGGAAATAACTCAAATGCCCATCAACAGTAGGCAGTAAACTGTGGTATATTCATGTAACGGAATACCACGCAGCAATAATTAATCTATGCTGATGATTCCATTTACGTAAACCTGTGGTGATGGAATTTAGAATAGAGGGTACCATGAGAGAGAAGTAATGAGTGGAGTGGAGCACAGGGAGACTTACAGGATGCTGGTACATTCTATCTCCTGATCTTGGTACTGATTATAAGGCTATGTTCTTTGTAAAAATTCAAGTTGTACAACTATGACTTTGCATTTTTCTGTGTGTATATTATACTTCAATTAAAAAAGTTTACTTAAAAAGCTATCCTGACGCCAGCCCAGTGGCTGAGTGGTTAAAATTCCATGCATTCCTCTTTGGTGCCTGGGTTTGCAGGTTTGGATCCTGGGCATGGACCTACTCCACTCATCAGCCATGCTGTGGAGGCATCCCACACGCAAAGCAGAGAAGGACTGACACAGATATTAGCTCAGGACTAGTCTTCTGCAAGCAAAAAAAAAAAAAAGGAAGATTGGCAATGGATCTTAGCTCAGGGTGACTCCTACTCGCCAAAAAATGAAAAAATAAAAAGCTATCCCCCAGCTTATTATTCATTGATTGGTCCAAGCACATGATAGAACTGCTCATCCAACTAATGACAAGTAAGGAAGAGGTGGTGACGCCACCAAGGTGCTAGGTTTCAAGGAGCAGGATTTCATGGAGCAGCTAGTCTGGAATTAGGAAGGGAGCCTGCCACACTGATTGGCAGCAGAAAGGCACATGGGAGAAAAGAGGGTGCATCCATCATCCAAAGAAAAGGGCCAGCTCTTTGTTTTCCTATTGAGACATCTCAGCAGTCTCTCTTATGAGAACCAGAGCATTTCCTTAACCCACTAACCAGATCAAAGGGCTGGGGGGGTGGGGAGGACACAACACATGCTATTCTAGACATTAAATAGGCAAATGCCAAGCTATAAAAGCTACCACAGCCTGGCATTTACCAGTTTAATGCCTAGAATAGCATCCATTCCAAACGAAAACTGAGTCAACAGAAAATGAAAGCTTTAAGAGTGATGGCTTTTGGTTTCATAGGTGAGACTTCTCTTGAGAATGGATTCAATGATGCAGACATACTAACACCAACTTTTGTTCTGTCCACTGGCATTCTGATGTAGCCTGGGCTCAAGTATTACAATGGGTTTCCCATTCTCTTCACAGTCATGGGGTTTGGGGACTGCCAGGACTATAGCTAAAAACCTTCCCACACATCATACAAACAAAACATTTCTCCTTCATCAGGTCTGTTATCCCTGAAGACTTAAAATAACTGTTACACTGATAAGGTTCTGCATAAGTCAAGACTCTGTTCCAAGGAAAGAAAACCTAACTCAACTTGCTTGAGCAAAAAACCAAAACAAAAACAAAACTCGAATTTATTGGTTACTGGAATTCTAAAACCCAGATGTATTTCTAGGTTCAGATATGGTTTAATGTGGTTGTTCAAGCAGAATCTTCAAGGTTTGATTATTCTCCAACTCTGCTATCTCTTTTGCTGTGCTGACTATTCTCAGCCTCCACAAGAATCCAGGAGTTCCTATCAGCTTTAAGACCAAGGGGAAAAAAAGAGAGTATGTCTTCCTGTTAACTCTTGCCAAGTCCTGGGACTCTAAATGGACCATCTTGATTCACCTACTGACATGTGAACCAACAGCCATGGCTTGCGGGAAGGAATGTGCAGCTGAGCCAGGCCTGTGTCACACATTCCACTCCTGAGCAGAAGATGGAATCCAACAGGAAATTTAGTGTACTATCACCAGTAAAAGGGGGTAAAAAATTCTGGGAGGCCAAAACGACAAATGTCCAGCACAGGCTTCTCTCCAGGATGGACATGACCTGGCTGGGAAGAAGTCCTGAAGGCTTTTTCATACTTCACACACTCATAGGGTTTCTCTCTAGTATAGATTCTTTGATGCCGAAGAAGATTTCTTTTCCTAGTGAAGACTTTTCCACACTTACCACATACATAGGAAGACTCCTGAATATGGATTCGTAGATGCCTTTTCAATTGTTCCTTAGCACTAAAGGCTTTTCCACAACCTACACAGTCAAAGGGTTTCTCCTCGCTGTGGACTCTCTGATGCCGAGTTAATTTTGTATGAAAATTGAAGGCTTGCCCACATATTTCACAAGTATAAGGCTTTTCCCCTGTGTGAATACGCTCATGTTGGCTAAGATGGGAATTCCTTCTGAAGCTTTTGCCACACTCATTACATTCATAGGGTTTCTCTCCAGTGTGGATTTTCTGATGTCGAAGTAGTGGTGAATTACAAACAAAAGCTTTTCCACACTCGTTACACTCGTAAGGTTTCTCTCCAGTGTGGATTCTCTGATGTATCACAAATTCAGAACTACTGGTGAAACTATTTCCACACTCCGTACAGAGATAGGGTCTGTCCCCACTATGGATTCTCTGATGCCTGATGAGATTTGCATTATCATTGAAGGCTCTCCCACACTCCTCACACTGATAGGGTTTCTCTCCAGTGTGGATTCTCTGATGCCGAATTAATGAAGAATTGCCATTAAAGGCTTTTCCACACTCAATGCACTCAAAGGGTTTCTCCCCAGTGTGGATTCTCTGGTGTCTAACATAGTAAGAAAGAAAGCTGAAGCATCTCCCACACTCCTGACATCTGAAGGGTTTCCTATCACAGTGAATTCTTGAAACCTTTCCTCTAATATTTTTCACTGTGGGGATTTCCTGGTGCTTCTCCAGCTTACATGTTTCTAGGAAGCTGGTTCTCTGAAGAACACTCTTCTGCAGACCATGTGACAACATCATGTCTCTTTCTTCAGAAATTCCCTGGGTTGATGTGGACTCACTGTCAATGTTGGCCTCAGTATCTGACATAATAGAGAGAAAATACAAATGTCACCTGAGAATCATACTAGAAACAAAAGAGCACCAAAATTATAGGGCTTTTAGAGATTACTATTACAACCTCCATGTCGGCCTGCTAGCAAGACAAGGCTATTAAAATGAAAGTGCCAAACATCACAGACAGAGAATAGTTGAGGTGGAACAACGTATTAGTGTACACATCGCACATCACATTGCTTCCTAAGCTTTTCCAGACTCTATATTTGAATGACTTCTCCCCGGTATGTTCTAGTATCTTTTGACCTTACGGTATTTACAGTTCTACAAAATACCAAAGAAGGCAAGGCTTTAAGAGCAAGTAGTGACACTGGGGCTGGCAAGACTCAGAGTCTGAAAGTAAAACAGAACGTCAGAATGTAAAGGCAATGAATGAATTGTTGTTCTTTTAAAAAATTCATACCCAGCAGATGTCCCAAAGACTGGAGACACTGGGCATTAAGGACACTAGGCTGTGGCAAGACAGAAAAGAAAATCACAGAGGCACTTAGAGGACATCATCCCCAAAGGTTCTTAACTGCAGCTCCACAGATGATGAGTGAACACCCTAAAATTGTTGGCAACTGCTGTCTTGTCATCACTCTTGAAAAAGTCTGAACCTCAGACATGCAGAAACTACTGTCCTAGCTCTCTTCCTGTTTGGAAAGAGAAGAACACAATTTACTTAGATACACCAAGACTGCAGAGTGTTCCTTCTCATATTAGCAAAAAGGAGACAAACAGTCACCCGGAAAATGGCATTTGCTCGACTCTACAGCAGGCCTTCTCAGTGGCCTGCTCTAGCCATCCACTTACACATTCTAAAGGAAACTCAGACTCTGCAGTTAGATCGGAATTCATATGAATTCGAAAAGCTCCTCCTATGTCATGACTTCCCAGTGTTATCTGACTTACCTCTCCATTTTTATGGCTGAGTTTTGATAAGATCTGGTCAATTCAAGCTCCACACACTCATTCCAATTCCATGTTCGCATTACCACTATCCCCTACCCAATTCACTCACTCAAAAGTCATTGCCTGATATATAATAACAGTTTAACAGGATTTTATGCCTTCAATTTCCTTCAGACTGATGAAACCACATACTAAGTTGAGTTAATATTTTGCAAACAGACAATTATGGGCCTATGTCACTAGTAGCAAGGTCACTGTGGCAGGGGTTGCTGCTCTTGCTCCAACTTCTGTTTCGTCTGCCCTCTCATTTCCTGTTCCCATGCTGTAAGTTCTTTAGGATAGAGCCCTTAGGTCTACCACAAACTCTGCATTCTAGATTTTACACATGAGGCTGGGTGAGTAAGCTGTACCAACTATATTCATCTACACTGCTAGCTAGGTTAAGGAGATCAGGGTACACTGCAGACTCTGCCAGCCGCAGATTTGAGAAGTCAAGAATAGGAAGTCTTGCCAGCCCGGTGGCATTGTGGTTAAGTGCATGTGCTCCACTTTGGCGGCCAAGTTGCATGGGTTCAGATCCCAGGCGCAGACCTACACCACTCATCAAGCCATGCTGTGGCAGCGTCCCACATACAAAGTGGAGGAAGACTGGCCCAGATGTTAGCTAAGGGACAATCTTCCTCAAGCAAAAAGAGGAAGATTGGCAACAGATGTTAGCTCAGGGCCAATTTTCCTCACCAAAAAAAAGAATAGGAAGTCTTGCTTAGGCTTTGAGTCCTAAGTCTCATGCTCTTGCACTGCTTACTACAAAAGACAGAAGAATACTTGCAGGTGGGCTCCAGAAATAGCCATTTTTAAATATGCTCCCCAGGTGATTCTCCTGCACATTAAACTGCAAAGTTCTTCACAATGATTTATGGACCCTCTATTCCCTTCCTCAGGTCAGAAAATCTACCTTCTCTTTCTCCACATGAAATCCACTGTAATTTGTCAAATTTGGAGCTCATGGCTTGCCACTGAGCTTCTAAATAGGAACTCCTCTCACCCCTCTTTCTGTCGTGCTCCCACAGCCCACTGCCTATATACCAACAATAGCAATTAACACATTTTTATTTTTAGCTCCTTACATCTGTCTCCATAACTTGTATCCTCCAGAGCTTCTTCAACAAAGCTTGGGACATGGCAAGTGCTGAAAAACTGCTCCTGAATAAATCCATCCCGCCCAAGGAAGGAGGGCCACTGAGGCAGGCAATGCTGAAACTCAGAAAGGAGCAATGGATTCAAGAATTGCATATGAGATCTATTAAGTGGAAATATGTTATCTTGATAAGAGTTAAAACTGGTGGGAAAGGTTTCATATTTTACCTATTAGGAGAAATCATCTATTTTATTTAAATCCTTCTCAGCATGGTTCATTTTAAAATACACTGCTCTGTAAAGTTCTAGAGTTGCCAGTTCTAAACCTGCCTCGCTTACCTTTACAGATGTCTGTGGTCCTCTCTGCAGGTGGGTCATCCTGTGCCTCCAGGCCCCAGGACAAATCCCCTCCCTCCAGAAGTGAGATCAGGGCAGGTGTGGGAATTGGGTATCCTGAAGGGGGGAGAAAATGGCACCTTTCAGCCCTGGTCTGCTGGGTCAGAAGAAGGAAAACCCCAAGAGCCTCAGTAAAAATAACACCCACAGAAGAGGGCTCAGAACTGGGGACAGACAAGGATATTTTGATCAAGAAGAAACTGAGCATTTGTGACCTTTTGCTCATTAAGATTAGGTAAGAAAGATCCTGCAAGACATGTGTAAACACAGGGAAAGGGTCACACCCATCCCTAGACCATGTGGGGAGAGCAACTTGGCTCTGCAACAGAAACTACTTATTCCTTACTGTGCAGGGGCCTTAGGAGGATGAGGCACACTCTTACCAGGGGACAGCCATACCCTACACTGGGACCAAACCGACCCAAGACCTCTCCCTACCCAGCAAACTCTGAAGTGGTTCGTTTGGCCTCAGCCCTGGAGCCACACAGCAGAGGATACTAGAGACAACCCCTCCCTCTCCACACTGCACCCCCAGCCTATAAGGAGAAAAGAAAGAAGGAAAAGGGAAAGCACAGATCTGCGTCCCGGGAGGAAAGTGGCCTTACCCAGGGATGTCAAGTTCCCATAATTCTCCAACATGACACTTCTGTATAAGGCCCTCTGTGCGGGAGAAAGGCCAGCCCATTCTGCCCGGGTGAAGCACACAGCCACGTCCTCGAAGGTCACCACCTCCTAAAACAAGAGTTTCCTGCTGCCCCAAAGCCAATTCTCTGACTCAGGACCTGAGTGTGGGGTACAGGAGACAGTATGAGGAAGGGGTCCTATTAGGGATGGCTAATTTAGAAAAGGTGAAACAACTCGGTGTTAGATCATTAAATGACTATTTCTACAACCAAAAATCTGGAACATCTTTCACTACCCGAAGACCTTCCACTAGGACATAAAATTTAGTGTTGTGAAACATGATAAAAACATCTCAAAAATCTTGGAAAGTCTCCCATTAATTAACCTTCCTAGAGAAAAATCTCTTTTATTTTGTAAATACTTCGTCTTTTACTGTTACACCTACAAGTGGACAATTAGCTTCAATCTGTGCAGATACCCACACTCATAGGTAGCATCTCAGGACCTACCTGTCCCCCTTCACTGCCCAGCCAATCCATTGGCTTCCCACATGTGCTCAGTATGCCCTAAACCTCAAGCCCACATAACAAGAGCAGAGTCACAGGTTGCCCTGAGGAGCCCATCTCATCCATCGCCCACCTGTTGCTTGAAGGGCTGTGCTGCCTGCGCTCAAGAACGTCCAGCAGAGGGAGCTCAGTGCTGCCTGGGGCAGTCTGTTCTGCTTCCTGATGGGTGTTCCTGGGAGAATACGCTTCTGGAAATCAAATCACTGCTGGGTAGCTGTTTTAGCTGCTTTTCTTTATACCTCGAAGACCATCTGTAATGGCTTCTGCCATCCAAGCCTCATATTTTTGCAATAGCCACCCTTTCCCCTCCCTGATGGCCTCAGCTCTGCCTTCCTAGAAAGTTCCAGCATCTGGTTTAGACCCTCTACTCACTCCTTAGACTTTGGTGTGGAACTTGGCTACCTGAACAGGCAGTGACTATCCTCCCACCTTCTAACGCTCAAGCGATTCTGCAGATCTCCACCTTCCACCGGTCCCAGCACTGCTGGGTGACCCAACACGTCTGACCCACCACCTCACACCAAACTCACCTTCCCCCCACACTGGCTCCCTTCCTAATTCGTATAAACCAATTCGCACGGTGAGTGACAATCCTATTTCCCTGTCTCAGTGAACAGTGCCAATCTCAGCCCAGTCTCCTCTACTAGAACTTGAGAGTCATCCTACACTAAGTCTCCAGCCGCTGCTCATTTCTCACATGCAGCCAGTGATCAAAGCCTACCAATTTTATTGCCTAATTATTTCTGGAATCAGACTCTTTACTACGGTATAATCAGTACACTAGTTCAACAGCTGGGGACACTTAAACAGCTCCAGTTCCAGGCACCCTGCACCGATCCATCCTCTGCTAGCATATACAATGGTCCATTTAAAATGACAACCTGACCCAGTCAACTGAATGACTTACTGAGTCACCACTAACTACAACAGCGCTTCTGAAAGCATGGTCCCCACAGCAGCAGCAGCATCACCTGAGAACTTGTTGGAAAGACAAACTGGTAGGCCCCACCTCAGAGCAATCTGTGCTTTAATGAGCCCTCCCGGTGATTCTGATGCACACCAGTTTGAGAACCCTGGACTAGAGGGTAAAATCCAAGCTCAGGGGGAGGCACAAGACTGTACGGGTTTAGGAATGAAAGGGAAGACTGGACACAGTAGCTTTAAGGCAATGTTTTGCAAACATCTTTTTACTAAAGTCATGTACCACATAACAGTGTTTTGGTCGACAGACCACATATATGACAGTGGTCCCATAAGGTTAGTACCATATAGCCTCGGTGTGTAGTAGTCTTTACCATCTAGGTTCGTGTAAGTACACTCTATGTTCGCCCAACAACAAAATCGCCTAACGATGCCTTTCTCAGAACGCATCCCTGTCATTAAGCGACCCATGACTGTACAGAGAAACTAGCTGGGAAGCTCTGAAACAAAATTCCAGAGAAGGAATGACAAGCCCTGAATGAAGGCAATATAAAATACGGGACAAGTGGAAGAGATAGTAGGCAGAAGCAATCAGACTTGGTAACACTCTGGAAGTGGTATCAACAGAGACCAGAGACAACAATTACTCAGCAATCTAGAGACTGAGTGGTCAGGACTGCATATGGTGATACCAGTGACTTACCAATACGTACAGAAGATCATAAGAGGTAGGAACTATAAGGAAGACAACGTATTGGTGAAATAGGTAGAGGGACTTGCCAGATGTCAGAAATCTGGGATGGGACGTGGGATTTGGTTCATGGATGCTAAGTTACTAGATAAATAACTCCCAGAAAGAAGGAAATGGTAAAGCAACACCTAGTAATGGATGAGTCTCAAAAGTGCAACACCACTCAAGACATCAATTTCTGGGGCCGGCTCCGTGGACGAGTGGTTAAGTTTGCGCGCTCCGCCGCAGTGGCCCAGGGTTCGGATCCTGGGCGCGGACATGGCACCGCTCGTCAGGCCATGTTGAGGCAGCATCCCATATCCCACAACTAGAAGGACCTGCAACTAAGATATACAACTATGCACCAGGGGGGTTTAGGAAATAAAGCAGAAAAAAAAAAAAGATTGGCAACAGTTGTTAGCCCAGGTGCCAATCTTTAAAAAAAAAAAAAAGAAATCAATTTCTCTGTTCCACAAACGTAAAGTACTCAATGTATACTTTACAAATGAAGTCAGCTAAGATGCAAAAAAGTTAAGTGACTGGCTCAAGGCCACTGAGTCCTGATGGGATCTCTAACTTCAGACGTCCTGTCCTAGAGCGTATTTTTCGTACCGTAGGCTGCTGCCTCACCTTAGCCAGCAGCACTCACCTCAAGGAGGATATATTTCCCTGATTCTGAAGCCCAAACTTCTTTCTTTAGGAGAACAAATGGTATTAGCCCCCTTTTTCTTGTCTTCTTCCTGCCATCCCTCTACCCTCACTTCCCAAGAACCTTTCGACCTTGCTGATCTCAGTCACTCCCACTGACGCTGGATGCCTACACCACCAGCCTGGGTTCCTCACCCTCACAGATCCCTCTGTGGGGGGAGGTACTGAACCTGGGGACCCTCCAGCTCAGTAGAGATCCTCAGAGTGCAAGAGGGTGCACCTCTGCTCCCAAGGACATCCTCTCCAGCCATTGCTTGCTGGACTTCGGGCTGCTCAGCCCCTCACCACCAGCTTTTCACCCAGCATCCAGTCCTACTGGAGAGAATCAGCAGGGATCTTCCTACTGGTTTGGCTCTAAGACTTTTGCCAGAACCAGCCCTCTCATCCCCCATTTCCTTCAAATCAGATCTCTCGAAGGCTGACCTGAGGGATCCAGAGCTCACCTGGTGCCGGGCTTCCAGGGGCATGGCTGCCATCACCTGGGCTCCCTCAGTGAAGGGCAGGGGCTGAGGGAAGAAGCAAAGGGAACCATGAGTGAGCCTGGCCCAATCAAAGGCTCTCCTTGAAACCAACAGACCTGCCAATTACAATAGCAGCAATCATTTACTAAATGCCCACTGGGTAAGAGATGAATAAATATTTCCTCCTTTAATCCACACCATTCCATGAAGTTTGGATGCTGAGGAAACAGATTTTGGAAGGGTGAATAACTTGCCCAAGGGCACCAGAGCCTGTTCTCACCAACATCAAGCAATGCCACCTGTCTTGGGTAAGGCACGAGTGCAGGGGGAACATGACTACACAAAGACCAAAACAAGCAAAAGACACCAAAAAACTTGAAGTAAAACCTAACAAGAGGAAACTCGGACCTTTTTTTTTTTTGAGGAAGATTAGCCCTGAGCTAACATCTGCTGCCAATCCTTCTCTTTTTGCTGAGGAAGACTGCCGCTGAGCTAACATCCGTGCCCATCTTCCTCTACTTTATATGTGGGACGCCTGCCACAGCATGGCTTGCTGAGCAGTGCCACGTCCACACCCACACCCAGGATCCGAACTGGTGAACCCGGGGCTGCCAAAGCAGAACGTGTGAACTTAACTGCTGTGCCACTGGGCCGGCCCCTCAGACCTTTATTTTTAAAAATAAAATTTTACTTCAAAACATAAAAGGGTAAAAAAAATATGTTTTTGGATGAAAAATACATATCCTTTCACTCAGTCCCTACAAAAATCCTCTGAACCTTTTATTTTCCCCAAATGAGAAAACAAGGCTAAGACAATAATTTTCTCTACCAAGTTCACTCAGCTGGTGGATGGATGAACTTGGACCCCAAACAAGATCTGCCAGACTCCAAAGGTCATGCTTTAAATAACTACACGAAAATGCTTCCAATCATAATCGCAACAGGTTTTCTTGTAGAACTTGATAAAGTGATTCTAAAGTCAATAAGGAAAAATAGATAAGAGTAGCCAGGAAAATTCAGAAAACAAATCTCAAAGTAAGTCTTCCCTTTTTTAGACCTTGGGGCAGACATCTTCTTTGTTTATCACCCCATTCTAGGACCCAGGGATAATGAAAACTATTAGCAATGGACCCTGAAAGGCACCTCAACATGCCAAAATTCTATCATCCTGTACAGACACTTTGTATTCTTGTTAAGCAGTCATATTTTACGAAAAAGCCAGCGTGCTCCCTAAAGAAACTCATGGCATGCTGTAATTTCCTGTGTCACTTTCCTCCCTTCTCTTAGTGTAGCCACTGTGGCCTTCTTTCAGTTTGCTCTACCACACCAGTTCAGGACCTTAGTACCTGCTGTTCTGTCTGTCTGAACCATTCTCCACCCCAAGGACCCTTATAACTGATCCTCTCTGCCTGCAATACTCTCCAGCAGCCTGACCTCTCTCCACCGAGGTAATGGCAGCTCACCTTTCAGATCATCCTCTACAGACCAGGTCAGGTCCCCATGTTACACACTCCACTAGCACAGTATTCCCTTTCCCGTATGCCACACCTCCCAGTCCAAGATTATACACTGATGTATGCTTTTTTCATTCAACAGACATTCATCACATACTTATTTCATTCCAGGCCAAGTGTGAGATACAGTAGAGTGAGAATAAAAGGTGTGATTTCTTCCATCACGGAACTTAGTCTAGACTCAAGGAAAGACATACGTTAATCATACTCTCATAAATAACTTTAAGATCACAATTGTGATTAGCGCCAAGGAGAATCTATCCTAGATGGGAAGACTTAAGAATAGGAATTAAGGGGCTGGCCCTGTGGCACAGTAGTTAAGCTCCAAGCCTCTGCTTTGGCACCTGGGTTCTGGGTTCAGATCCCAGCTGACTTACACCACTAGCCAGTCATGCTGTAGTGGCGACCCTCGTTAGAAACAGGGGAAGACTGGCACAGATGTTAACTCAGGGGAATATTCCTCAGCAAAAAAAAAAAAAAGGAAAAACGGAATTAACTAAGTTAAAAGGAAAAATCTTTACAAAAGTAACAGCAAAGGTAAAAGCATGTTCTAGAAGTGAAAGGCCAAGAAGACTGTAGCAGAACCAACGGGAGTGTGCTGCAAACGAGGGGGAAGAAGTTGCAAGAGATCCAGCCACGCAGGTCCTTGTGCACATTGAGAATTTGGTCCTCGACCTAAAAGCAACAGGCCGCAGCTACCCAGTAACGAGCAGGTGGAGTGAAACGATCAGATTTGATTAATACGTGGCTTTCCCATTAAGACTGAAAGCTCCCTGAGGGCCGGGTCTGCGCCCCGTCTCCCTCCAAAGTGCATTCCGGGAACCTAGAACGGCAACGGGCATTTAGCAGCTCAATAAGTAGCTGCTGGCCCAACGAGCAATGGGGCTTGGTGGCTGTGTCAGGACACAGGGCGTCTCCTTTCCATCCACAGCCTACATTTCCCCAAGCGGCCGCCGCGGGCTGGGGCGCGCAAAGGCGCACGAGAGCGGGGGGCCGGGGCTAACCATGGGCCGCCTCCGACTCCCTCCACCGCGGCACCAGGGACAAAGGCGACAGCCTACTCTACGGTTGAACGGATCGCTCCTGGCAGACACTCCTGGGCAACAAAACCCAGCACTCACCTCTGTAAAGGTGCAACGTGTGGCGAGACCGGAAATGCGTCACTACGTCGGCGCGTCGCCTAAGCCTCACGTGCTTCTTCTCTAGGATGCCAGAGCGCACCTCTCAGTGGTTCTCTGGCTTTACTCCCCAGGGTGGGGCTTTTTAACGTGGGAGCCTCAGAGATCTTGTATAGGAAAGTTTATCGTTGTTTTCGCTAATTTCTAACTGACATTTAGCATTTTCTTCAATTACGTGTTGGTAGCAAACCACACTACCGTCAGCAGTACCTGTGCCTTTGTCACCAATAGAAATCACAGATATTTTCATATCACATTACAGTTGTCACAGATATCTCAAAATACGGGCTATTCTCGTCGCTAACTGAAAATGTTGTTATTAGGCTCACCTTTAGATATTGTCATTTTATTTCATCACATTGGTAAAGATGCACGTATTTTAATGTATCACAAATTTATTTTTTAAACTACTTAACCGTATTTTAATATAATTGGTTTCGGAGGGGTCCACAGGTGTTGTTACACTGCCAAAGAGGTCGTTGGGCACAAAAAGCTGTCCCCCCTAGAGGTAAAGATCCAGTCACATTAAGAAAGAGCAAGACTGAGAAGGGATATCCTAAAGAACTATTTAGGACGTGAAAACAGTGGACGTTAAAAAAAAAAGATTGAATAAAAGATGTGAAGGGGGGAGCACTCTTGGTAGCCATAAAGTATGGGTGATCTGATAGATGAAGGTGTCATTAACTGAGGTCAGGAACTCAGGAAGAGGAGCTGGTTTCAGGCAGGAAGACTACAGAATTTGGTTCAAGAAATGCTGAATACAATCCCACAACTAGAAGGACATGCAACTAAGATATACAACTGTGTGTGTGGGGGGGGTGGTGCGGGTTGGGGAGATAAAGCAAGAAAAAAAAAAACAGATTGGCGACAGTTGTTAGGCCAGGTGCCAATCTTTGGGAAAAAAAAAAAAGGAAGATTGGCGACAGTTGTTAGCCCAGGTGCCAATCTTGAAAAAAAAAAGAAAGAAAGAAAATGCCATCTTTAAAAAAAAAAAAGAAATACTGACTACACACACACACTTGCTTTATTAAAATATAATTCACATTCCATATAATTCATCCACTTAATGTGCACAGTTCAGTACTTTTTGGTATATTCACAGAATTGTGCAACCATCACCACAATCAATTTTAGAACATTTTCATCATCCCCAAAAGAAACCCCATAGCCATCAGCAGTCGCTCCCCATTTTCCCTGCAATGGGCAGAATAATGTTCCCGTCAACGATGTCTATGTCCCAATCTCTGGAACCTGTGAGTATGTTAGGTTACATACCAAAGAGGAATTAATGTTGCAGATAGAGTTAAGGTTGCTAATCTGCTGGTTTTAAAATAAGACTATCCTGGATTATCCAGATGGGCCCAATGTGATCATAACCTTAAAAGTGGAAAACGACATTGAAAGAGAGAACTAGAGAGATGACAGCATGAGAGAAACCTGTCCCAGTGTTGCTGGATTTGAAGCTGAAGGAAGGCAGCCATGAGTCAAGAAAAGTGGGTGGCCTCTAAAAGCTGGAAAAGGCAAGGGAACAGATTCTGTTCTTAGCTACAACTTTGAATTTAGCACATTTCGCACTTCTGACTTCAAGAACTGTAAGATATTAAGTTTGTGTTGCTTTAAGCCACTGTTCGTGGTCATTTGTTACGGCAGCAACAGAAAATTATTACAACCCCTGACTCAGGCCTTCCTCCAAGCCTAGAAAACCACCAGTCTATTTTCTGACTCTACAGACTTGCCTATTCTAGACATTTACGTGATATAAATGTCCATTAAATCTGGACATAAAACAAAAAAATAAAGGAGTTTTTATCATTGGTAATTGTATTCGCCTTTAGAATGATGGAAACCTATGTGTTTATTTAGTGGCAAGACTTGGGCTGAGCTTGATTTTTTCCCAGGGGGTAGGGGAGATGCCATACTTTCAATCTGCCAAACTCTCAACAAAAAACACAGGCTACTCCAATAAGAAGAAATGTTTCAATTATCCCTGGTGAATGGCCACTCCAAGCAGAGAAGCAGTGCGATTTGAGTTGTACTTTAGGCAAAACACACCGTGAACTGCCCTTCAACCCTGGCCACTGTGAGCATTCGCAGATGCCCTCTAGCAAGGTCTGGATTTAGGCACCCTGTTTCTCCATAATTATTTTATTGATTTTTATGCAAGTCTCTTTTTCTTCAAATCATTTAGTAATTCTATCTAGATTATTGTAGCGGGTGACTCATGGGGAGAATTAGAAGTTAAACAGCATTGCTTGTTTCCTGCAGTCATGTTTTTTATGAATCCGTGCATATTCCTCTTTTTCTTTAGATTTAGAAATAAATTCACCCTAGGACTTTGCAATCTGGATTTCCC